ATTGTGACAGCCCTACGTGTCACGCTTGCATTGACTTTATTTCAACATTGTTGCACTTTTAGTCTTTCACTAATATTTTTTAGCCAGCTTTTTGTTTGAAATTTCAAATCTCTTGTTTGAAAGACTTTAAAGAGAACAAAACTATGTTTTAAAAAGACACTAAAGCCCCAGGACCAACAAAACATAGCCCTTCTAATTGACTAAATCATGTCTGGAACAGATCATAGAAGAGCCCTGGCTAGTATTTCTTTGTGTTGTTTGAAGAGGAACAATAGATGCTGTTCACTTTCATGTCTGTAAATCTGCAGAAAAGCCGCTGGGCACTAGAGAGGCCTTTGTCTGTCTGTCTGTCCAGAACCGGTTCTCTTCTTTGGACTTTGTGCCTCTCAGGGTTTGTAGACTTTCTTACACCAAGAGCATCTCAGAGGTCAAAAAAACTCCCACGGGGCTCCTCCTGTCTCATATCATTCAGCTGATTTAGTTTAGAAATCTCAGAAATATTTTCAGTTTAACCAGTGCTGTTTTTCTCTCTTGAGCTATAACTATTTCCATTCATTTAAATATTCTAAAGCCATTTGCAGATACGTTTTATTGCAGCTAACATGACATTTTTCTCTGCTAGCAGCCAACCCTGCCCTCAGTGGAGCTAAGTATGGCTCTTATCATGAGACCATGTGGAAATGAGCATGACCAGAGAATGAGTCGTCTCTCTGTGCTCGTCCACCTCTGCCTCTCTAGTTAACTCCTCTTCTCCACTTCTACTTTTCTCTCTTTGTACATGATGCAGATTAGGATTATAGGGGAGAGGTGATGGCTGTGAAGTTCAGAACAAGCAGATGAGTTCTGTTGCATCACCCTGGGATACACGCTCCCGCCAGATGATACGTGGAAAGCTGCAGCCTATTGCCACACATTAGATGATGACAGTAAATACTGACATCACTTCCTGTGTTTCAGCTAGTGCTCGTGATTGGTTGGTTTAAAGTAGAGAAAAGGGATTTGAAATGTTAGAGAAAACAGAAGCCTGTTTCTGTAACTTCATGCTGGACAACTAGAATATCCTGTAGCTGCAAGTCTGGTTGTCCTTTGCTTATTCATTAGAACCCATTCATTATTATACAACAAATAACCACACCGCAGTTCAGATTTTTGCTTTTAGATGTGTCCCTTTGTTTTTTATACATATAATTTTCCACAAAAAAAAAAACTCATTCCCTTTACTTTCCAACCCTGCAGCTGCACTATAGTTGACCTATTTTTTGATGATTGGCTGTACAAAAATTAGGAAAAGCTACTGCACACATGCAGTGGATACAAAGCTGAGTGTCCTTCGTGAGAAGTGTTTTACATTCTCCCTGTCTCTCCACTGCTATCTCCTACTGACAAAGAATTCAGTCATCTTGGAATAATCCTGCTCTTTCATTCCTCATTACTTTGTGTGTGTGTGTGTGGGGGGGGGGGGGGGGGGGGGAGTATTAGTGCAGCTCTGAAGGCAGAGAAATTCCTGCCAATAACATGAGGTCACCATTTCTTCATATTAGCCCCAACAAGAATGCTGCTGGAGGAGCAGAACATAAGTGAAAACTTTGACTAACTGCGTGTTTTTTGCAAATGTCTGAAGAGGGAACGTTTGTTATTCCACCCACAAATAGTTAGCCTCTCGTCGTGCTTCATATTTCATTTCAAACAACCCCATGTAAAGGAAAGACACGTTCATGCAATATTTCTTTTATTTAAATTTGACTTATCATATTTGCAGCCTGTTGCTTTGTCAGTAAATTCAATCGTAATGCAAAGATTAAACAAAACTTATGTTCTTTTTTTAATTCCGAGCTACTCGTGATATTAATACTATGAGGCAGACTTAAAGCAGACCATTGCAGCTGTGTCCCCTTCAGCCAACCTTCCTGTGCACTTTTCCATCTGTGCCACATCTTTCATGTGTGATAGTAAGAGGTTTTTTTAATGGCACCATAAAAGCTGGTATGCATCATAGTCTAGCTCCTTGGCCACAGTCTGAATTACCTTGCATTCTGCACACTCGTGCAAATGATCTGGTTACAGTTTGGTTATAGACCGGAGGGAAACCACACATACCGGTGCTGTGAATGTTTTTGGTAATGAGATATTCAAGCATGGTCTCTAAACATTATATTTGCTATCTTCCTCACTAGAGCCCTGCACTGAAGCCCTAGGCCCTCGGGTCGGCCCGGCCCGACGGCCGGGCTTCGGGCCAACGACTGTGCAATTACCTTGGACACGGGCCGGGCCGGGCGCCTTTATTTTTAATCGAATTCATAAAAAAATTGAAACACAAACGCAGCAGTAGAGCCCTGCGCGGGACTGTTTTCTTCATCCCGCTCCTGCCCGCTCCCGCTGAATTTCTGACCATTACCGCCTGCAACTGCAACGTGTGTGTTACACTCCCGCCCGCACCTGCAGCGTGCATGTCTACTCCCGCCCGCAACCGCAAAACTTGGAGAAATTATTACCTCACAATAAAAGAGATGTATTGAGTTTGCGTCCTCTCTGGTCCTGGAGAAAACATGTCACAACCCGCGGCTCTTCCATCCATCTGATGCGGCTCTCTGTGCTTGTAAAATAATGAATGGATATTTAAATAAAATGCTTTAAATTTTACTGAATTAATTTTATATCTGTAAGTCAATTCTATGTAAAGATTGTCTGCGTAAACCTGAACAGGTCCAACCCGGTTTTACTGTGAGACCGGGTTGACGCGTCACGCTTGTGCGTAATATAAGCTGTCTGAGCTGAAGAGATTCTGGGATTCTCCTCCTGGATGTGTCGCCACATTTGAGACAGGAACAAGCACTATTCAGCCAAAGTTTCATAATCAGGGAACATTTTCTAAGTGACAAGTCTCTCTGAGCGACAGGGTTTGGAAAACACTCGCTTCAGTGGGAGGAGCCTTCCCGCATGCGCTCTGGTTCTGCGATGCGCTCCCAACCCCTCTCCACAACTTCAGCTCACTGTGCACATATGCGCTGACAGCGAGCTGCGCTGAGCAGCTCAGATGTTCAGATGGGAATCTTTGCTTGGGTGATTTAGCTACATTTGCGATGTGTGTAACGAATAAAATGTCGGTTCGTCTGCATGCGTCGGGGTAATTCTTTCTATTCTGGAACTATCCGGTCAACTCAAGCCCTGCTTTTAACTGTTCTGTTTTCTTGTGAAAATTGTTGGAAAGTGATCAAATTTAACTTGATTAACACCAGAGCAAGTGCGCCGTCATCTCCGTGACGGTAAATGAGGGAAAAACAAATTGATCGGATCCTGCACGTCTTTTAACACATTGGTCAGGATTAACGCACTTTGTTTTCATTTAGCTGGTTAAAAAAAAATCGGGCTCGGGCCGGGCCAGAGAATCCTGAAAACCTTTTCGGGCCGGGTCGGGCTGGGGCTCCACCCCCTCGGGCCGGGCCGGACACGGGCTCAGATTTTAGGCCCGTGCAGGGCTCTATTCCTCACATTGTTATCATGTGACAACAGCTTTGTGAAGCAGATATTAACCTAGCCAAACAGAGAACCCAACGTTTAGCTGTATCTAAAATCTCTCTTAGAAAACAATGCCGCCGATTTGCTGCAACGCCAAGATGGCATCAGGGAGCCTTAGGTCATTTATAAGTGGTCAGACCATGGCGGTAATGTGGCGCAATCGTGTCCTTTTTACAAAAGATTATGCAATGGAGGTATAAAGGGGAATAGGGGCGGTTTTCACCGTGGACTTTCGTTTCCTCCTGGACATAACTTGCTTTTTATTGCGAGTGAGCGCTGCATCGCTCCAGTGTATCATCTCAGCTGATTCTGTTTACAAAAGCAAAACTTACGGCCCGTGTTTACTTTCATTTTCAGTATAGTTGTTGGCCGAAGCTCAGCAGTAACTCCACACGTGATCATGACACCTCCCAATGTTGTGACAAGGCATGATATGCATTCCCAAGTCTGGTGTTGCGGCAATATTACTACCAAGCGTGGCGGCACAAATGCAGCTAAATTCCCACATCGCCATGCCGCCACGGCATTTTTATAAGACATGCCGTGGCGGCAGTATTACGCTGATTTGCCTGCCTGGTGTGTCTTTTTAAAAGGGCTTAAAATACCCTTTAAATCCTAAAAAATCCATTTTTGAGTTTTTGTCCCGCTGTATAAATTTAGTTTAGATTCTCAGCAGCAGCAGCTGGGATTCATTGACATCAGACAGCTGTTGATACAGTTGTATCAGTACAGTTGTATCAAGGTAGTGAGGAAGTGAGGTGTGCAGCTGATTAAGATTTTACTCAAGGGATTATTGAGTTTGTATACCCAGTTCTTAAGAGGTCAAGTGAGCAAGAGCTCAGCTCAATAATCTTTAATTTCCACTCCGATGGGATTTTTCTTGGCACATGAAGGAGAGCTCCTGTTATTTTAATGTCGCTAGAAAAAATGTGAAACTTGTGCTGAATTCTGGAATAAAAAATAATGCAAATTCTAAACATAAAGGTAACAAAATGCTGATTGTTGCCTCCTAACTTGGCTCTGGGAATCTTTTCCTGGATTCTTGTGACCTTGTGGAAAAAGTAATTATGAGAAGCCACCACTGCTGCTGTATTTTACACAGAGTTATGTTAGTCAGACTGCAGAGGTTTCGTTTACCACTCTAACAGTCACACGTTTCACCTTCACATCGGTTAGGTTTAGCTTTTCTGAGCCTGGGCGGTTAGAACGGGGCCAGCTCATGTGAAGAAGGAGGAGGGGAAAAAGGGAAAATAAACGTCCCGATGAGTAGGCCAGCCAACATTCCTACATCACTTCCTCCTCTAACATCTGGCAATCATCAGAGTGGGCAGAGAAAAAAAAGGGGATGGACCTTACCGGCTAGCTTAATGTTCATTTCAAGGTTTAGACAGAAGTCTCACATCGCAGGATTGCCTACTTATTCTGCCCTTCCTCAGTGGATAAATGAACGGATACAAAAATTCTCCTTTTTTGTCCCATTTTAGAATGGCTTAGTGGTGTTGTGCCATTAGAGGGCTATCGGCTGTCAGCTTCCTGGACCAGAGGTGTGTAGCACGATTTACCAAAACCCTTTTCTGTTGAGCTGATTTTATTTCTCAAAATATATTTTACTGAACCTTTAAAAATTAAAGGAAATATTTATTGTTTTGATTCTTTGTTTTGAATAAACTGCAGTCCTACATATGACTGAGATCTTCTGTTCTCTGGTAGTAGTTTAATAGTGTAATCCACCACAGCTAATTAGCAGCTTCGTGGATTAAAAACTACAGATTATGTTTGCTTTTGACTCAGGAGGTGTGCACAAGAGGTGGCAGCAGAGTGCAGACATGAGTGTGACCTCCTGGTTCCTGGTGAGCAGCGGGGGAACTCGCCACCGACTCCCCCGAGAAATGATCTTTGTCGGCCGTGACGACTGCGAGCTCATGCTACAGGTGAGGGTGCTCCACACATAACTTCTCCACTGGCTTAAAAAAAAAATATATATATATATATATGTGTGTGTGTGTGTGTGTGTGTGTGTGTGTGTGTGTGTGTGCTCATCTTGAAAAGTGCTTGAATTAGAAATCGGAACAGGTACAACACTCTTGACTTACACTCATAACTTTGTGTGTGTGTGTGTGTGTGTGTGTGTGTGTGTGTGTGTGTGTGTGTGTGTGTGTGTGTGTGTGTGTGTGTGTGTGTGTGTGTGTGTGTTATGTGCCTACAGCTGTGCATATATCCACAGAGAGCCATGTGTGTGCTCATGTTCACCTCTGGTCACAGGGCTATTATTAGACAGTGGGGCAGATACCTCTCGAGTTAGATCTTATCTGACTGAGTCAGTTGTGGACAGAGAGGACATCGATGCTGCAGAAGATTTATTAATATATTAGGACAGGTTTTTATTGGGCTCAGTGATGTAAAGTCTAAAGAAACATTCAAGACTTTGACTTTTCCAGAAAAAATCACTGCTGGACAGGAATGAACTTCTTTTAGTTCATCATGTTTTATACTTAAAAAGCTATAGAAAAATATCGGCCTTAATTTGCACTTAAATCTTTTTCAAAGACTTCAATTTACGAAGAGTCATACAAGTTGTTTAAAAAAAACCTTCCTTTTGCATCTGCCTTCTAGCATTTTCACTGTCATGAACGTTTTCCGCTCTGCCTTTATTTCGGTTTGTATTCTTGTGCTTCTCATAATGATATCTTGAACGATAAATGATAAATTCAGATCATATCTGGCTTTTAATGAGTTTGGGTTTTATCCAAAGCAGCTTGCAGTTGATACCCACGTGTCCGCTTCAGTAAACCAGGGCTTCTTCATCACGTGGCTAAACAGAAAATCTGGCTGTGTCATGCACCTAATAAAACACAAACCCAGACTTGCAGGCTCACATGCAGAAGATCAGATCAAATGCACATTTACTAGGTTAAAACACAGTAAATGAGTGGTGGTGTAAATAGGTTTTAAGACACATTTAAGTGATTACTTTAAAGTCTTGCTCTAAGATGCAAATAAACAGAGTGTGAGTGTCTCCATATGTACTCGCTCAGAAAATCAAACTATCATTAGGTCTAAAAAAATGTTTTCAGCAAAAGTTTTCTTTAGTTTTCTGTTTTCTACCTTTGTTCTGTATGCCTGTGTCCCTTGTTTTCTGCTGTATGAGGGAAAACAGGAAGCTCAGCTGGTTTCCTGTCGTGTTTGATCTAATGTTATTGTTTGGCCTTCTTTACTTCATCATTTTCATAATATTTTTTTTTACACAAATGTGATTCAGTTCACCAAACTTACTTCAAATTTTGACATACCTTAAACCAAGAATCCTAAAAATGTACCCATCAGCCCTCGACATTGCATTCCTTTGGATGTTTTTCATTTGAGTGGCATCAATTGATGAGAGATGTATTCATTAAATTCCAAAAACTACGTTTCTGTCTGAGAATGAGATCATGACACCAAAAAGTTGCTATGTTTCTTCTGAAAACGGTTTATCCTCGAGCCAGCTTCAGAAAACCAGTCTGGCATTTTATTCCTTTACTGTTCTGATTTTGTTTTTGTGGCATTTATGAGTTTACTATATAATATCCAGCACTAACATCTGATCTGAATGATTCTGTGATAATGTGACACTTTATGACAGCTTCTACTGAGTTTATGTTCCATATGTGTCTACCGTTTTTGTTTTAAAGTCTCGTAGTGTCGACAAGCAGCATGCAGTCATCAACTATGAGGCTGGGAAAGATGAACACAAAGTCAAAGACCTGGGGAGCCTGAACGGGGTGAGTACTGGAGAGAGAACCTACAGAATAGAGAGAAACAGAAAAGATCAAGGGAGAATAGACAGACAGTAAATTGTGAGAAGGAGCATTACTGTTGATAAATAAGAGAATTAATGCAACCAGCTGACAGGGAAGTAAAGGCTCTGACAAGACTTTTAATATCACCAATAAAGATATTTGTGTGATGTCAGTTCAGTGGCAGAAAGGGGAATTCCTCAAATAAAGACTTAGAGCAGTTTTTGATCAGCTGACCATTAAAACACACTGAGCCTTTTGAGAGGTGCCTAAAAGAGACACGAGCCTTTAAAACTTACAAGAAGTGTTGTTAGAATGTGCAGCTGCTAAATGATACCATGGATGGTTATTTTGTACAAATATTATAAATCTACAGGTCCTTCTCAAAAAATTAGCATATTGTGATGAAGTTAATTATTTTCTGTTATGTACTGATAAACATTAGACTTTCATAAATATTAGATTCATTACACACAACTGAAGTAGTTCAAGCCTTTTATTGTTTCTAATATTGATGATTTTGGCATACAGCTCATGAAAACCCTAAATTCCTATCTAAAAAAATTAGCATATTTCACCCGACCAATAAAAGAAAAGTGTTTTTAGTACAAAAACAGTCAACCTTCAAATAATTATGTTCAGTTATGCACTCAATACTTGGTCGGGAATCCTTTTGCAGAAATGACTGTTTCAATGCGGCGTGGCATGGAGGCAATCAGCCTGTGGCACTGCTGAGGTGTTATGGAGGCCCAGGATGCTTCGATAGCGGCCTTGAGCTCATCCAGAGTGGTGGGTCTTGCGTCTCTCAACTTTCTCTTCACAATATCCCACAGATTCTCTCTGGGGTTCAGGTCAGGAGAGTTGGCAGGCCAATTGAGCACAGTAATACCATGGTCAGTAAACCATTTACCAGTGGTTTTGGCACTGTGAGCAGGTGCCGGGTCGTGCTGAAAAATGAAATCAGTTGTAATGAATCTAATATATATGAAAGTCTAATATTTATCAGTACATTACAGACAATAATGAACATCATCACAATATGCTAATTTTTTGAGAAGGACCTTAGGGTTTCCCCCAGCACTTTATAAGCCTGGCGGGCCGTCAGGCTTTGCTTGCCCACCCGCCAGGCTAAGCGTCACGCCCCGCCCCCCTCCCCGACCCTACCGTGTCCGCTGACACGAATGGCGCTGCGAAACTAGAGCCCTCCATCAGCTGATACTGGTGAGAAACAGCAGCGGAACGTGTGCAACCACCCCACCCCCACCCCCGCTCTCACAGAGGAGCGCTGCGGGACGGAGCACGTGATCCCCCACCCCCCACCCCAACGGCCAAAGCCGCCAGGCTTAACTCATTTTCTGGGGGAAACCCTGGACCTGTATATCTTTATATGGATTTAAACAATTACTTCAGAACTTATCCCTTAAGCATCTTCACGATAAATCTAAGCATATCCGTATTTTCAAACCTTGCTCCAGTTTGCGTTAGTCATGTAGTGATTCGTACTCACTGCCCACCACATTAGACTCGTACATCCCTCACATCCTCTACAGCTCTCAGACAGGAAACCAGAGTCACTTCCTACTGTGTCATTAAGCATCCAGCTCCTTTGGCTGGATTCAGAGGAAGTTTCTCCTGCTGAGTCAACGGGTACATTGAGGGATCGTTATGGTAGTGAGTAGAAAGTTTAGGAAGCATCTCTGTTTGCTCCCACACTGAAGCGGTTTCATTTCACTAGAGCGAAAGCAGGGGTTTTGTTTTTATTACAACAGATGTGTAGAGTTTCATTGGGTGTTGAGTGGACTTTGGTTCCTTCATACCAGAACATTTCTGACTATTTCTATCAGCGCCTGAATAACGTTTGCCACTAAAGGAAATCTAAAATTGCTCATTTGATGATCAGAAAATTGCTTGTGGGTAATTTGTTTAACAGTCGCTCATTTCTGTGGATTTTTTGTTTAATTCTCTCAAAAAAAGAATCTTTTTACTTTCTTATGTTCTGAATTTTATAAACAAATTAATTGGCAAAGCACTAAGCAAATTAATCAGCAGTATAAGTATTTAGTTGCTGCTTTAAAGTTTGTAAATAAATGTTATTTTTTTGGTAATTTTGCATCTGGTTTTGTCTGCAGACGTTTGTTAACGATGTCCGTATTCAGGAGCAGATGTACATCACTTTGAAGTTGGAGGACAAGCTGAGGTTTGGATATGATATCCTTTCACTTGTTTTACCTTCGGTGGATCATTTACTTACAGCAGAGTATTACCGTCAGGTCAGGGACCAATATCTCGTAATAACGAGAAAGTTTCTCGTTTTAATGTGATATAAATCTTGTTTTAATGAGAAACCTTGTCGTAATAACGACATATAAATCTCTTTTTAACAACAAACCTTGTCTTAAAGCTTCTTTCTCTTATCTGATGGCACCATCTAGTGGCTGACAAGCATATCACACAAAAAGTCTATTCCTGTGTTTCAGACTGCGACTTCACATTTCTGTTTATAAATGTGCTTTTTAGCCGACAAACAGAGCTACAACCCATTGTTTTATGAGTAATATTCTCATGTCATGTTGTGTTTTCATACATTTATATTTTAGAGACTTTCTTGTCCATGAAAAGTTCATCAACTCTGCATCAACCGAGGTATTCCTTAAATTTGAAGCAAATAAGTTGTAGTCTAACGCTATTGGTTAGCTCTGGTCGGCACTCAGTTCCCTATTGAATGGAGCTCTGTGGGGCAGGGGGAGTGCTTAGCAAAAAAAAAAAGACGTATTGCTTATATTATATCACAGTACATGAAGAGATAATCACTTTTACGGATTTCTGAAAAATCATACATCATTTCTCAAAGGGGAAAATTCCGGAATGCAGCTTTAATAACGACATATGAGTGTTGTTTTAACGAGATGTAAATCTCTTTTTAACGAGAAACCTTGTCGTAATAACGACATATAAATGTCGTTTTTAATGAGAAAGTTTCTCGAAATGACGCGTTTATTAAACGGTAAAATGGCGGTTATGTGGAACTCCACTCAGAATGAACGAGGTAACTATTCCAGTCCTTGACGCAGCACCAGGGGGTCGCGCTACAACGACTGAGGGAAAAGCACCAAACAACCGTGCTTGAATCATCCAATTACGTTCGCTAGCTCTCTTTTCTGCCCGATCTGCCATGCACACCACGTTGCAAAGGCAACAGGCTGACAGCTCTTCATAACAAGAGTAAAGTTTTTAAATGTAAAAAACACAAACAGGAAGTAAATTTTTACTTTGAATTCTGCACCTCAACTATGAAGCAGAAATACCGCAATTGTAACGAGAACGTTTCTCATTAAAATGAGATTTCTTTCATGTTTTAATGTGAAGATCTCTTATTATTACAAGATACTGAACATTAATTTTATTCCCCGCACTGACGGTAATATACTTCCGTACTTAGTAGTAACTTTAAATGCATTAAGGTCTAATTGTCACATCGGGGCAGAATTTCCTTAACTCTTTTTGTCTTACATACCAATCTGTTCACCGTGGTGAGAGGAGAGCTCACAGTGCCTGAAGAGGCTCTCAAAGTGAGAATAAACAATCTGTAGCCTGTCATGACACAACTTTATCTCACTGTTTGTGTTTATAACTAAATTAATATAATCTTTCTGCATTTTGTTTTAGCATGAAAAGTTCACCAGTGGTCTCCAGTTCAGCAAGAAACCATCTAATTGTGAAACCACTATCAACACAACCACGAGCAAATCTCCTACCAAGACCCCAGCAAAAACACCAAAGTCACCCAGCAGCAGCAGCTCAAAGTCAGGCACGAGCAGGCTAACAGACGGCGTCACTTCCTCTAAAGAGAAGTCAGCCACAGCTGTGGATGCTCACAAAACAGAGGAGAGGATAGGAGGTGAGCACAGCGTTACAGAGCAAATGAGGTGGGATGGTGAGGTTTTAACTCAAAATACATAAAGTCACATGAACTGTATTTATTGGTAAAACCAAACATTTTATAGACAAAGAACATTTTTCACTCCGACTTCAAGTGGTAGGATTTTTGTCAGTCCAGCAGGGGGTGGACTTGGTCACCAGGAGAAGCTTTCAGTGACCATAAACTAGTGTTTAATCTTTTAGATTTGACATTGCCCCTAATCATTGACATCTCTGGTCAAGCAGACGTAGTAACAGGGATACTGGTTAATCTCCACTTGCTGGAACAAGGCTACATGGAGCTTGTGCGTTTTTGCTCAGATTAATCAGTAACAGGATCAGAGAAAACAACGTGTTCAGTCACAGACATGCATTTGCACATTTGGATCCAAACAAGCATTTGCATGTTACTCCATCTGTCAGGCATATGCATGCTCTGCAGTGTTACCGCGGTAATACCGGACCACACCCTTTTTTATATGTTGCGGTAAGCGTACATTCTGTAGCTTTTAAATAAGAAGGTGCCATTTACTGCATGTATTTTGGCACCACGCAGCTATAATTGTGTTGAAAACTGTGATTTAACTCACTCAGCTAAGCGTAAGTGTTACTTAAAGAAAATAATAAGGCTAAGAAACAAATGAAGTGTGCTAAGATGCAATGTCCACCTAACGAGGCTGGTTGTGTGCCATTTCCCCCTCTCAACTTCATTTCCTCTCCCTTCTTTACTCAGCTCTGAAAACAAGTTAGCACAGGATGTTTGTCCCATGACCGCTTTCATGCTGTAAAGAACAATGAAGCCAATGTAAATCGTCCCTCTCTTATTTACACGGTTTGCGTTTGACAGAAGGAGAGTTCATAATGATGCTGAAAGTAGGTCAGTGATTTGACCAGGAGGGAATTAAATCAGAAATACACTCCGAGCAGTAAATGAGTTTAAGATTCAATAAACGCTTCATCTGGATAAGTGGGTTCATAAGTCTGGGCTGTAACCCTGCTGTGGGGTGGGGGGTCTGGAGGTAATCCACAGATTTCAAATAAAGTTTTTTGATTATTTCTGATTTTTGCCACATTTGTAGCAAGATCACTTGTTTTACATGGCATGAAAAATTTTAATGATTGTTGATTTTGAATCTGTCTATTTGCCCCATTTACAATATCTGCATACCAGCTATAGAGAGCCTAAATCACACCCTTCTACTTCCGGACCACGGGTCCCCAGAAGAACGGAAAAATGAATGCAAGTCAACGAGGCTAAAAACGCTATTTTCTAATTCCACTTGTTTTGTGCCATGGATTTCACATATGATGTCCGTGAATTTTAAAAATGCATTTGATACCAAGAACATGCTTATTTTTGAATGGGGGAAATGTTATTTTAGGTGTGAAAATAAGTCCAGGACTGCAAATGCACTTCATCGAACCAGACACGGAGAAAAACAGAGGCAAAATGGCTGTAAGTTTAGCGAACTTCAAATCCTTCCTTCAGGAGGAAAGAACTACCATAAATCTGGCCATGAGGTAAGTAGCAGCTACACTAGGGGTGGGGAGATTCTGTAGTGACGTCATAAATGCGATGTGCCGAAGTCTGGTTTGTAGTCGTGCTAATTACGAACTTTTACAAGCTGATAAATCTCTAAGTACGTGACAGGCATGGTCGAAACACCCATCATTACTTTTCATTTAACTTGCAGTACAACATATGTGTGATCCAGGGTGTAACGCAAAGCAGATTAGAAAATAGTGTTTTTAGCCCCGTTGACTTGCATTCATTTTTCCGTTCTTGCGGCGACCCGTGAGCCGACTAGAAAGGGGGGAGACTTAGGCTCCCTAAAGCCAGGGCCATGTGCCTCTGCCACTGTTTTGTGGATTGGAAGCTACGTTTTGTAATCACTGATCTAGACGGTTATCGACGTTAGTGAAGCGTACAAACGCATACGTTGTTGCACCAGAGGTGTGAGGGATTGGGACTCATTTGTGTGCTTCTGTCTGAAAGGGGATACAGCAGCTCTGCCTCGCGGGACGCCACTGTACGGTCAACCCTCCTGGTGGGGAGATGGAGATGCAGATGATGAGAATTCCTTCAAACAGGAAACCAAGTCATCCTCATCAAAAAAACATGACAGCTCCATTTCAGGTAAGATATTTAGAAGGGGTTTTAGATTTAAGGTTCTGTTTTTCCACACACACACACACACACACACACACACACACACACACACACACACACACACACACACACACACACACACACACACACATATATATATACATATATATATATATATATATATATATATATATATATATATATATATATATACTCTGATCCCTGGGTTTTTTATGTTTGTCTACAATTATTCATATGAAAAGTATTCCATTGGTGGTGACACTGAAACCTGAAAAACAGCAGAACATTTAGCATAATCAGCAATATTCTGTCTTTTTGCCTAAACAAATTTATACCACTTATGTTAACTGAAGTAAATGTTTGATGGGGAAAAAACAATAAGGATTATTTGGCAGCAATCACACCATAAGGAATTCTGCAGAAAAAAATGGCTGCTCCAGATTATTTCAAAATGTCAAATAATCATCAGTTTGATACTAGATTTAGTCATTCATTAATATTATAAACCTACTGTGTGGTTTTCAGTGTAAAGTTGAATGATGTAATGCACCATATTTTAGCTTAGTAGGAAAAAACATTTTCTGTCTTTTTTTTTTTTTTTTTTTTTTTTTTATTTTCTGTGTTCAGGCATTCGTGTCCTTCAGGATGGTGCTTGCATTCACAACAATGTACATCCAAGTTGCACACAAAGGGTTATTTCAAAGATGGTATGGCTGCGTACAATATGAGTGTGTGTGTGTGTGTGTGTGTGTGTGTGTGTGTGTGTGTGTGTGTGTGTGTGTGTGTGTGTAGTCCGAGGATTGGAGGGAGTGGGGGGTGTCCTGATAACAGGATTAGTGAGTGAAGCAACATCAGCCTGTGCCAGGCTGGTTTAGTGGACCAGTGTGGTCAGAAGGAGTGAGTGGGGGGTGTTAATCACAACACAAACATAAGAGCAGATTGAAGCACCCTGAAATCTCCCCACATCTGGAGGGGTGGTCTGGCTGCGTCTTCACCAGCATGAGAAGGGAGACGATGGTGGAGGTTTTCCAGCTCTTAGTTATGATCATGTCGGTTTATGTTGCTCAGTGCATTGCTGGGTGTTGTAGTTTTCATTTGGATTTAAAGTAGGCAAGACTTTTGATTGTTTGCACTAAAAAAAAACTCAAGGTTGATTTGAATCCCTGAAAGCTTCAAACATTCATGCAGATGAGACTGGCTACTTCGGTCATGGAAGCGGGTGAGTTAAAGGCATTTTGCCCTCTTGCATCACTAAACGGAGGAGTTGATGATGATGTTGGATTAGTTGTGTGGAGCCGGTTGCACTGGGGGTTTGTGTTCTAATCATATAAGTTTAATGGACCTAAACAACAAGTATCTCTTTCTGGTGTGCATGCTTTTTAACATCTCTCTAAAAGTCTACAGTAACGAGGTTAAATAGAGGTCAACAGGAAGTGAACGACATTCAGGACAGGAACCTGTTTTATTTTAGTGTGTGATCTGTTGCTATGTGTGTGTGTCAGTTAGGTTTAGTGTGTGTTCTCTTCTCTTTCTGAGTAAAAAGGCTCAGCCGTTAACCCCCCACCCCCCCTCCATGTGTATTGTCACTAAACCTGATTAAGTTACACCACCGCACTCAAACAAACACACACAGAGACCACTCTTTAATTTGCAGAAGTCAGTAACTAATGCTCTGGTAAGCATTGCTCTCAGCTCTGTGTACTTCGGGCTAAGAGCTTTCAATTTGTGCAAAACTTTCCAGAGTATTATTTTGACATCCGCTTACTTTACACTTGTACGTGTTTCTTTCTAACTAACTGTTAAGTCGGTTAAATCTCTTTAGTTTATAAGTAGTTTAGAAGTTGAAATGAGAAATCGCTGCAAAGCTGTACTTGTGATTTGGTCTAAGATTCAAAGAAGCTAATTGTAGAAAACTCATCTCTACATGTTTAATAAAAGTTATGCAACATATTCTGATTTACCTGAATGCTGTGTGTTAAAGATTCAAACATGTTTTATTTTTTTTAAACCAGTATTAAAATCCTAACTGTTTAGACGTGACTTTGGAAATATTGTGATTGAGCTTTGGTTTGCTGATTTTACAATAATGAGCTGGAGCATCATTGCACCACAGTAAGTTTGAGCTCAGCCATCTTGTTTCTAAGCAGAGTAAAAAGAAGCCCAGAACAGTGCAATCTCGTGGTAAATGTTGAATGAAGTGGTTTGTGGTATAATTATATTCTTCTCTTAGAAACAAGCTTAGAAACGGTATGTTTCGTTGCAGGATGCAAACTTTACATCACTTCATGACACTCACGAAGTCGGCAGACGCATTTGTTTACATTTTTGTCGCTGCACGTCAGTTGTGTGTGTGTATGGGGGGGGGGGGGGGGGATGCTGCACTTATGGTCTCTGCAGGCTGCAATGTAGGAGCGAATGACAGGTGGTTGATCGGCTCTGAAAGGTGTTGATCAGAATTAGTACATCACGTTTTTTTCTCAGAGATTGGCAGCAGATTCTTCTTCTGGCAAGTGAACTGGGAATCAAAATAAAAAAAAATTGAACTATTCCAGGAAAACCTGACAATTAGTCCCAGTTCCGATAGATGCTCGATGCCCAACCCTAATCTTATTTTATATAATTCACCAGAAACCTGTAAACTTTCTACATCTGACTACATCTTCCCTCTATTTGCTGATTTTCACATGTTCCAGCATTTTCTCCCCTAAATGAAACAGATGGCCCCTTTTTTTATCATTTATCATGAACTGACCCCTCCTAGAGTCTGTTAGTTAAAATAAACAGATGAGAACACAAATATTGTCACTCTCACATGAAGATCAGCCATATCTTTATAACCACTCCTCATAAATGATCGGGTCTTTTCCACTAAATCAGCCCTGATGAGTCGGGGTAAAAACCAAAGGGATCCTGAGGGATCCGATTCTGTTGTATGATTCATCTTTAAAAGTTACCTTTTGGTCTTTTTTGTTTTGTTTTGTTTCCAGAGAGCAAAGAAGCCCGACGAGCAGAGAAAACGTCCACTGCTCTTGACTCTGGCTACTTTGAGACCCCGACCAAGGAGGGTCACATGGTGAATAATGGCATCCATGAAGTTCCCACTAAAGACACGGAGGATGGACCCACTCCCAGCCACGTTGCTTCAGGTACGAGTCATTAAATCAAATTTCTTTCCAAACAAGTCTGCCTGTTCAAATGTTCCTGATGGGTCATCCTTAAAGACAATAGGCTTTCTACAACTTTTTTTGTCTAACATGATCAAATTTACAATTTCAATATTTTTTTTATAACTAAGTTTGTTTTTATGATGAAACCTTTATGGTACATAAAATCAAAACAGGAACAGGTCAGAGTTTGTTTTTGGTTTACAGATTATTCTCCACATCCACTTTTGAAAAGTGCTTCAGTTAGCAACCTCACATTTACTGTTGACATGACACAATAATAAATCTGCACCGTCTGCTCCACAGCTCAAGGTCACGCCTCCTTCACCATAGAGTTTGACAACACCTCTCCAGGGAAAGTCACCATTAAAGACCACGTGTCAAAGTTTACAGCAGATCACCACAGATCTCGCTCCAAGAAGAGTGGAGCAGGAAGTGGAGGAGCAGGAAGCAAAGACCTCAGCACGCTACAAGCTGCTATGATGGCGTCTGAGAGCAAAGTGGCTGATTGGTTGGCTCATAATGACCCTACGCTGGTGCGCAGCGAGTCGACAGAGGACGACAGCAAGAGCATCAAGAGCGATGTGCCGGTTCATCTCAAGAGACTCAAAGGTGGGGTTGGATTTCTTTTTATTTATCTGTGAACGCGGTTTCTGTTTGTTTACCGTACCAAATTCTACCTTGTGTTTGTTTTGCCTAAATATCGAATACTTAAAGCTACAATCTGGAGTTTTTTAAATCTGACAGTACCCTCTAGTGGCTGACAAAGGTATCACTCCCACATTCCGTATGTACGGCCAAAAGTAACGCCCCTCGTTAATGAACGCCACCTCCAGCTGGCGAACAGAGCAAAACCACCTTGTTTAACAATTATTATTCTAATGTTATGTTGTTTATTCATATATTAAAATTTTAAAGTCTTACTTGTCCACAAGGAAAGTTGCCAACTTTGCAACTGTCTACGTTCTCAGTCGCTCGCTCACACGCTGTGATTGACAGCTGTATGTGGATGGATATCTAACGCTATTGGCTATTGCTAAATGGTTCTCAGTTCAAACTGTATGGGGCTCTATGGGACATGGGACAGGCTTAACCAAAAAAGAAAGACATTGCCTACATTATATCACAGTACACGGTAAGATTATCACTTTTACGGATTTCTAAAAAGAACATACTTTAATCCCAAAAATGGGAAAACTCCGGATTGCAGCTTTAAAGGAGTTGAACATTTGTTTAATCAATACATTTGCAGTGGTCTCTAGCAGGAATGAATGCCTTGTAAGTTGTACTCAAGGAGGGAAAAATACACTGATGCACCATTTCTCTGACCTGAAAGTTGCCCACATCACAGCTGAGCTTCAGAAGGCAGGTTTTGGGGTCTTATTTCCGGATATTGGGACATCTCACCTCAGACTGGACAACAGCAACACGACTCTACCACAGATTTGCAACACTGATCTTTTATCTCCACAAATAACACAGGTTTGAAGGAGCTTCTGTATGGTGAAGTTGCTAATGCTAATGGTTAGCTTAAACTAGCCAAGACGTTTTCTGCTGTCTGATTCCCGAATGTGAAAACAACAACAGCCTTTACCCGTCGTGAGTCAAGATGAGTCCATGAACGCTAATTCACAATGTGACGTAGATCTGTCAGGATTTTCAAATCCTAGAGTTTCACCGTCTATTTTCTATCAGAAGCTAATGCAGGAGATAGGTGTAGGTAGGGCTGCAACAACGAATCGATAAATTCGATGAAAATCGATTACTAAAAGCGTTGGCAACGAATTGCGTCATCGATTCGTTGTGTCGCACAACTCTTCCAAAAGCGCCCCCCCCCCCTTCCCGCCCGCCGTTGCGCGCAGACCAGAGCAAGTCAGATCAGCGCGAGGTAGAGCCGGCAGATCAGCGCGAGGGAGAGCCGCAGATCAGCGCGAGGGAGAGCCGCAGATCAGCGCGAGGGAGAGCCGGCAGATCAGCGCGAGGGAGAGCCGGTACCGGCAGATCAGCGCGAGGGAGAGCCGGCAGACTTGCGCTGCTGCGAACCGGTTCCGCATTGTCGCGCAGCGATCCAGGCAGCTGCTTCCAGCGCACGGTCCATTCTCAAAGTGGCGCAACCAAAAAACTATAATTAGCACACGATCGTTCATGTCCGCACATGTTCTCTATTTTCTGTCTTATTTGTGCCTGAAGCTCGCTACTGCAGAGCTCATCACCTGTGCTGTGGTGATTTCACCTCACGCAGCATCGAAAACGCGCTCTGCGCTTTTCGGTCAGGAGATCTTTGATCTGCTCAAAAGTAACTGATGAGGTGAAAAGGTAAGAATCCAGGCAACAGATTTTCTGGAGAATTATGAGGAGATGCAGGAAGATGAGAGACAGACAGGACAGGAAAATAGTTCAATAAAAACAAGAAAACAAAACAAAGTGTTGAAAAGTCAAATGTAGGTAGATTTATCTCCACTACACGTTTTTACCAGTAAAAAACAATAAGTTCTACACATGTCATATTTATACATCTGATACAATTCAGATCACCTTCAAAACTCAGTCACACACCCAGGGCCGTTTCAAGACATTTTGGGGCCAAGGCAAAATGCCCCCCCCCCCCCCCCCCCATAACTGGGCTCCCCAGAAGCCTCTGTGTAATTCATGCCCTCTCCAGGAGTGTTAGTTATACAGTGTTTATAAAAGCCCCTCAGACATTACTGACATGTTCTAATATGATCAGATGAAAAACTAAATTATCAGACATGCTGTCTCATCTGCTTCTTTTAAAAACTTGCAAAACGTAACAAAACTATTTGAAAGCCACTATTTGTGGATTCTCAGAAAGTTTCCATGGAGTGTGTGACAACTTATTTTTTCATTGATCCTATCGTCTAATCTCACAGCTGAAACAAGCATCCTTAATAATCTGTGCACAGGAAGCGTACCGATGCTGTAGTAAAACAAAAGGTATAATAATTTATTATTACTAAAACCTTGTTGCAGCACTAAAGCAGAAAAATTAGATTTTGCATTAAATATGCAAAATATTTACATATGAATTGTTTTAGAGCCCTTTAATTGGCAGAATCTGATATTAATTTAGTTCTTACAAAAAATGGGTCCCAACATGGTTTGTGTGGCGTTGCCATAGTGTGACGTCATAGGCACAGATCCCCTGTCCTCTTGTTTGGAAATGGAAATATGGTCACCCTATATTAAACAAACTGTCCACCCGGGCTTTTGCGCTGCACAGAGACGCTTCGCTGCCTACGACTGAATGTCAGTTGAGAGTCAGTCTCATGCAGACTGACCAATGAAGAGAGGGCCTCAAGTTAAGACCCTCTCCTCATTGGTCAGTCCACACGAGGTGGGTCAAAGGTTACTCTGGGCGGGTTACGTGTTGTCAGGCATTCAAGTATTGAGTATATTTACTGCATATTACAGTAAAATATTCTGTATGTGACCACATTATGGTGATCCTTGGGTCGTGATGATGGAGCCCTTGAATATTGTTGCCCAGGGTACAACAAAGTGTTAATCTGGCCCTGGTTCCGCCGTCACATTCCCGCAGAAACTGGTTGATCACACCGGGCCAGACTACTAGCATGTGGTTTTACAACCACAATGTCCTCAGAAGCAAAAACGCTTTTAAAAGGGAGGGAGGAGTCCTAACTGTTGCTGCAGGCGTGTTGTGTGAGAGTGCAGTTATATACTGGTTAATATATTTTTGGGTTCAGTTGCTTTCATGTGGCCTAATGTGAGTCTATTTGGGATCATTGGAATGATCAGCAGCATTTCTTGATGTGACTTTATGGCAGTTGCCCAGGGCATCATCGCAAGGAGGATGGCATTCATTTACTTTTGTTTTATTTGGTATTTTTTCAGTCAGTTTTGGAAATAGTGATCAATTTTGATTAATTCACAGCCTATGTTTAATTACATTTAAAATAAATGTCAACAGATGAGATCAAACAAAACAGATGAGAATTGCCCTTAAGCTGTTTAACTTGGACCAAGCATTTTAGGTCACAGATAGATGTAGCTTAGGGTCTCTGTCTATACACCTTATAAGTCAATTTAGGTGATGGCATGTTGTTTTTCTGCTATTGAACTGTTTTCTAATAATGTTGTGTTAAATAAAGTGAAGGAAGGAGAGAAATAACGTTTCCCTAGCAGTTTTTAAAAATTTCCCCATGTAATCTGATTAATCGATTAATCGTGTCGAGACCCCATCCGATTAATCGATTATCCAAATAATCGTTTGTTGCAGCCCTAGGTGTAGGAGACTATTTTCATGTTGCTGCATGAAAAACTCAGCGTGACTGATTATAATCAGACGAAACATTTTTTCAGTCAACCACACCTTTAAGCTTAGCTACAACATTTGAATTTCACTTTTTATCCATTGTTGAGTATTCACCCTTCACATAAGTAACACTAAATGAGTCATTACACATTTACACATTTCTTTGTGGTAGCTTTAGCTTTATATTATTTTTTGTCTCATTCCCTTTAGGTCTGTTTTACTAGAGCGTTATTGCTACTTGCACTTGGAACTAATTTGAAAATTAAAAATTTTCTCTTCTGCTGTGCTTCTTTGTTCCTTTTATCTGCAAATTCTGTGAGTGATCTTGAGTTGCTTTTTTTTTGGGGGGGGGGGGGGGGGATTATTTTGCTCTAGATGTTTTTTGTGAGTATGGATCAACCAGCTGCGATGGTCACCTCAACTTAAGTTTGATTCTGTTGGAGGGTTTTAAATACTAGACTTACACCATTAGAGTTCACTATTGAAAGTTAAAACTATGTAGAGCCTGTACAGGTTGGTCCCTTCATTTGTTGGAGATGAGTGGTGTGTATGAGCGGTGATGTGGAAGGAAACCAGAGGGAAGCTAATTTATTTAATGGATTCAGTACCACCAGCAGGCATGTCAGCCGACTGACAGATCGACTCACCTAATGAATCATCTTGTTCTTGACTGATTAACTGACTCAGCTTTGTCAAAGAAAACCAACACTAAGATGAAGGTAGAGAACCGAATGGGTGAAGCAATGAAAGGAAGATGGAGGGATGGGACAGAGACAGTTGGATAAAAGGTAAGCTGTCAGACTTGTAAGGTGTGAAAAAAATGGATGAGTTGACAAAATGAAGGAGAAGCACGGAAAGGAGCTATATCAGCAAATGTGAGTGTTTGAATAAAAACAAATAGGACAGAGATGCACAGGGAGGGTTTGGGCTGCAGTAAAAAACAAAGGGAGGGGGTGAAGTAGGAGGAAGAGCAGTGGAAAGTTGTTATAGTAACACTGATGCAAATGATGGCGAGGAAGCAGAGAAGGTGTTCCTTTACAAAGAGCAGATTCAACATCTGTCTGCTGCAGATTGTGTGAGGAATGCCTCTCAGCAGCTTCTGATGGTGTGCGTGGATTAGATGCCTGTCACACGTGGATGTGTGTGGCTGATATTTGCAGTTTTCTTTCGGTGCTGCGTGTGCATGTTTGGAAACATGCTCAACGCCGATCTGCAGACGAGCGGTGCAGCATGTGTGAGCAGAGGAATGAGAGATCTTTGGGTGTGTCAAAGAGGAGCCAGTAGCTAGGAAACTGAGAGCAGGCAGCAAGGATTAAGATTTTGTTTGATGAACATCAGGTACGTTTTTTTTTTTTACCTCGCTTTAAGGAAAGTTGAATTAATCATTATTTTGTTTGTTCTTTGAAGTAAATACTGGTGCCTGTCTTTGTTGTGTTTTCAGATGATGTTGGTGCATTTGGAGTATAGTTGATGCCTTGATTTTTCTGGTTGGTACTCTGGGCTAGAGCTGGAAACAAAAGCTTAAAGACTCATAATAGTCACAGTTTAACAGTGTTCTGAATCGTATGCATGGAAATGCTGCAGTCCTGTGTGTTAGCATGTATGCTTGTGCTTCTGAACAGGCATCCTTGTTGCGGCTAGTGTGTGTGTGTGTGTGTGTGTGCAGACAGAACCATCCGACAGCTCCACTGTGAGTCATGGTGGGGCGACTGGGACGGTGTACTGATCTCTCACAGACACCTCTGTTCTCCTCCAGCCATGCCAAGGGCTTCTTTGTCCTGGACAGAGAGAATGAAAGACCTGCATCTCTCTGTCTGCTGATCTGCTCAACTTACTGTAACACTCTGCTGCTTTCTTTACCCATTTATTCTCTGTTTGAGGATATTCATTTCAAACTGTGATCAAAGACTGCAAAGTTCCAGAAATGAAATATAAAACATTGGGATTTCCAAAGTAGAATTATATATATATATATATATATATATATATATATATATATATATATATATATATATATATTAGGGCTATATTTTATATATATATATTTATAAGCAACACAACATATATTGGCCTCTTGTATTTAGTAATTACCATATTTATTAGAAATTGCCAAACACTAACCCAAAAATTCTCTTGAAGCTTTATTAAACATTGTGATTAGGTCCATCCAGTAGTTGGTTTATTATTGGCTCTTTGTGTTCTTTATGCACAAACTTGTGTCGCCTCATGTATACTCAGTAAATTAGTTTGTATCTGTGTTGAAGTGTAACGGAACATGACATAAATCATTCTGTTGTTGATGTGTATAGGGTTACAGAACCCGTTGCCCATGTCTAATTAGAACATCATCTTACTTTGATATGATTTACTCTCGTTATAAAATACTCTCCATAGTTCACCTTTGAGTGCAGTTTACTGTAAATGTAATCTGACTCTCAAATGGCAAAAAGGAATCAACATTAGAAAAATGAACAGATTGAGGGACAGGTGTGAAAGTGAGGTGTAATTGTTTTTGTTTTTGAGTGACTGTTGAGTGTTTTTTATTCTTGCCTCCCATGTAGTCGTCACTTTTCCCAATCGCCCTCATTCTCCTCACATCCCCCAACCGCCTTCCCTTTTCAGCCTCCACTTCTCTGTCCCTTTTCCCTTTCACCCCCCCCCCCCCCCCCTCACACACACACACACACACAGCCCTCCACATCCTACCACTCCCCTCCCCCTCCCTAAACCCTACCAGTGAAGTCGACAGGGCCAGTAGTCGTGTGGGTGTTATGGCTGGATTAGTGCGGCACTGTCTCCAATCTAGACTTATTAAATCAAGTCAGACAGATCTAAAGGTGAGACCGCTCTACATGGTAGGTAACTCAGATGTTGCCAAGTTGGATTCTGTTTTGATGGTTGAGTGATCAGCTGAAAGTTCATTCTTTAGTGAGGCTGTGATGGTATCCAGACACGTTTCTTGTTGTAGATGTGTGTTCAGGTGGACACGGGGATGTTGTTTATGTGCAGCTTTATGTTTAAAGTAGACAGCGAAGTAGCCAGTTTTTCTATGGTGCTGTGTGGAATCATGGCACAGCATTCTGCCTTTGTTTTCTGTAGTTGTGTTATGGAATCAGAATGTGGTGGTGAAGCATTGGTGTCTCTGATTTGTGTCTCTCTAGGCAGCAAACATGAGGACGGCACTCAGAGTGACTCAGAGAACGGACCGGGCCTGCGCTTCGCTAACCGCCAACACGCCCTTGAGGAGCGCCTGAAGTCAGCAAACAGCCACGCGAGTGGAGGGGCAGGAGGGCCCAACACATCAGTGAGCGGGAACAGGGCAACTGGAACCCGTACGGCTTTCATGATTGAGTTCTACGACGAGGAAAACCCCCGCAAGCGTCGGTCTTATTCATTTTCACAGACTGCTCCCCTGCTGGGTGGAGGAGTTTTTGGGGAGGGACTGTGCCCCCAGCCTCCGTCTCACCCCAAAGTGTTTAGTATTTCCACCTCTGCTACTTTGGCCTCGGACTCTGGTAACTAAAGTGATGTCATCTCATGCCGTTTAATTAAAGCTCTAAACTTTTTGTTGCACCTATAACAACACATCGTCTCTGTAACTTAATCCCGTGTGAAAGCATTTATGTTTACCGTCCAGGTAAAGTGCCAGCTCCGATACCAGCCACAGTGGCTGCAGGTGCTCCGACAGCGGCCCGTGTGCTCCTCAAGCAGAGGTCAGAGGACCAGAGCATCGGTCGGAGCTCAGCCAGCACCGGACTGGCGACGGGCAGCCCCACCACCCCCAGCGAGGATGCTTCTGTTGTTAGCAGAACAGCGGGAACAGCCGCGGGGGAGGCAGAAGACGACCACAGCGATAAGGGGACATACACTATTGAACTGGAGAACAGGAACCCAGAGGAAGAGGAGGCCCGGCGCATGATAGACAAGGTAAGATCTCATCAGTTGTGTGTATAGGACACATTTAGGATTCTACCAAAATGTGTTTTTGTGGTTTACCAGAGGCTATCTTTGCTGCTGAGACAAAGGTTATTTTAGGATTTATGGCCTAAAATATCGATTGACACTTGTCAAAAGATCAGTTCATAAAGCTTGCTAATCTTTGATGTTCCTTCCCAGAAAAATAAGCAGAACATCTTCTACTGTCCGGCTGCTCAGTGGAGCAGTGGTTAGCGCTGTTGCCTTGCAGCTCGAAGGTCACAAAGGTCCAGGGTTCAAATCCCGACCTGGGGTCTTTCTGCTTGGAGTTTGCATGTTCTCCCTGTGCATGCGTGGGTTCTCTCCGGGTACTCCGCTTCCTCCCACAGTCCAATAACATGACTGTCAGGTTCATTGGTCTGTCTAAATCTGTGTTACCCTGCGATGGACTGGCAGTCTGTCCAGGGTGTACCCCGCCTGTATACGTGGAGACAGCTGGAGAAAGGCACCAGCCCCCTGCGACCATGCAAGGATAAGCGGGTAGAGACAATGGATGGATGGATCTTCTACTGTCCCTTCTTTAATGTCTTCTATCTAATTTTTAGCTGAAATGGAACCAAACCTAAGCAACTCACATCAAGGTTAAATGTCTCATTATTTCTTGCTTCACTGGCTATTTTGTGGTTAGCGAGGCCTTTGAGACCACCTGGGGTTTCTGCCAGTGAAACAGCACTCAGCTCACTCTGGTCCTGCTTGACCATCACTTTTCTTCTCGGTCCCACCGGAACACCTAAAGCCGGGCGTACACTGTGCAACTTTTTCACTCGTAGCACTCAGCTTCAGCTCAAACTGTACGACTTCAGCGCAGGGTAGATCTCACGAGTCATGTGCTCACACTGTACGTCTGGTAGCAACACGTCGGCCCTAAAAATATACTAAAAATAGCAGTTTTTACTCAACACGTTAGACTTTTTGTCTTGTTTTGCCTGTTGTCCTTCAGGAGTGCTGCAGGAGGACACACAGGGATTTATGGGGGTTGGATGAGTAAAACGAAATAAAGAAAGTAAATCTGTGTTTTGTGATCAGTTTAATTTGACATGAACACGACAAACACGCTTTTTTTGACAATCTTTGTGAGTAAAAAAACGTGTAGAAACAAAAACGAACAACGTGTGTTATTAGGGAAATAGCGGGGAGCGGTGTTGATGCATGATTGCGCATGCGCCGTGAGCGGTTCTGATACATTTTGGGTCGCAGCTGCTCGCAGCGCCGCTTCAACAGTGCGATACCCTCACGAGGGACGAGCGAAATATTAAACGCCAGAAGTTTGTGCGAGCTCACGATTGCTGATCGGTAGCTGGTCACGTGGTGTTAATCGCCTCTCATAACCCCCTGTACACTACACGACGCTCGGCGCAAAACTCGCCCCGATCTCGTGGATTCTCGCACGAGTGGAAAATTGGCTCAAAAAAGTGAAAAAGTCGCACAGTGTACGCCCGGCTTAATTCTTCTGTAATAGCCTGGAATGACTTTCTCCATCATGTACTGTCCTGTTTTATTTAAAAATGTTGCAGGGAGGCTAAAAAACACCAGTTTTTTTTTACTGCTGCCCCTGTATTTAAGTGAATTTCTCCCTGTTGACTACCAGAATAAATAACAGCTGACTGGTCTTTTTTATTTGCACTAAACAGGTTCAGAAGTTTGAGTTTATAAACTTGTATCAGGAAGCTGACATTTTAGCGTCCAGCAGACATAATTTAGATTTAGCAAAATAGCAAAATGCTTGTAGTGTTTTTAAAGCTGTTACATTCGGCCAAGCAGCGACATCATCAGTGGGCTGGATTTGTAGTTAGTGTGAATCTGAATTCTTTCCATTCTAAACTCAACACTTTTGTTATGCTAATCCCTGTAATTAGCTGACACACTAATAGGCGTTCAACTCACAGCTGTCCACTCTCATGTTTGCTTGTTGTGTTATTTCTGCTGGTTTTCTTTTCTTAGTTTGTCTGTTACTTCCCCTTATATGGAAACCTATAGATTAATACTACCATAAAGCATATTTTATCAGGATTGGTTTTAAGATGGCACTTGATCGTGTGTGTTGCATGAAGAATAAAGGGTTCATTCTGAATGTTAAGGTACAAAAATATACAAAAGATATGGATGAAATAGATTACTAGTGTACCAATTTTCTTTTTATTCTTGATTTAAAACATTTGTAGGTGTTCGGCGTGCAGGAAAGTACGAATCCCTCAGTTTTGTCAGGTCTGCAAGTGGAAGAAAAACGAAAGGACTCAAGAGAGACCGGGAAAGAGGTACAAATCTGTGAGGTTTTTGGTGTGTGTGTGTGTGTGCGCGTGTGTGTATCATCAAACTGTCAGCATTTACATCCTCTAGGGAAAAAACGCCTGGAAACACGTTCATTTTGATATTTTTATGCATCTGCTCCGTCTAGTTCTGCTCTCAGAGGAGTGGAAAAAGCCCCGTGATTGAGTCAGAGTCGCTCCTGTGACTAGACTGATGCAGGGAGGAGGCCAGTCCTCCCACTGTGACCTAGATCATGCTGGGATGAGGAAAGACGTTCAGCCCTCCAGGCTGTTTCAAGAGGGAGGGGACACTGTCTGACTATCTATTCGATCTGCTTCACATTTAGACGCTCTTTGTCTTCCAAGTGAAATAAAATCCATTTAGCTTTTCTTGTAGCTTTATTTGATTGACAAGTGGGTGGTCTACGAATCTATATAATTTATCTGCATTATGTAAACACCAGTTTGTGTTCATGTCTGATCACTCCCACCACTTTTAGGAAGTTATTTGTTCTTGTCCAACTTTAACTTTACTGATTTTAGATGCTAAGTTCTCATGATTTGCTGTTTGTCTTTTTCTTTGCATCATCACTGACTAGGTCGCCTTTATCACAGCTTCTCAGTGCCACTTCTCCTTCGCTCATTCCCGCAGGCCCTGCCCGGAGACTCCAGTTGGGTTTCTCAGTGGGCCAGTTTAGCTGCAAATCATACCCGGACAGACCCAGAAGGTTCTGGAGCAGAAGCAGCCACATTCCTACACAAAGAGAGAGGTATAGTGTCACCAAAGTCTCAAATGTGATCAAACTTAGATAAGTATTTAAGATAAATTACAATTCTGCACTTATTTCATCTTTTTAAACTGATTTTACTAACCAGCTCTGAAAAAACTTACCTACCTTAAAATGTGTTTTTTTTCCTTTTGTTTTTAGGAGTTGATGCCTTTGAGTCTGGTGCATCCCTCAGCAAAGGTGAATCTTCTCCCAGCCTGACTGACCGTAAAAGAAGGACCCTCCCCCAGCTCCCCGCGGATGATCCCCGATCTAAATCCAGTTCCAAAGCACCGAGGTCTGAGATAGGGGAGAAACAGGACACTGAGCCCCAGGAGAAAGAGAACAAGGGAGACGGGGAGTCCCCAATCCTCATGGAAGACGGTGAGATGACCAATAAACGGAAACAAAGCTCCACCTCCTCACCGTCTAAAGGTCCTCTCCGGACATCCGGTGGTGCTGAATGGAGAAAAACGTCAGAGGGTGTCAGAGTAGAAACAGATGAAGGAGAGAAATCTGGGAAGGCTCTTGTCCGTCAGGGCAGCTTTACTATTGAGAAGCCCAGCTCTAATGTCCCTGCAGAGCTCATCCCTCGCATCAACAGAGTCGGCGGTGGGCGTGAACGCAGCGACTCTGTGGGTAGCATGGACACGGCTACACTACTGAAGGACACTGAAGCTGTCATGGCGTTTCTAGAGGCAAAACTCAGAGATGAGAACAAACTAGATCAGAAAAGTAGTAAAACTACTCAGGCTTCGAGGTCTGGCCCCCCAGCACGCACCGACTCCATCTCTCCTGAATCCGACGTGGACACAGCCAGCACAGCTAGCCACGTGGCGGGAGAAGCAGAGAGGAAGGCAGCAGCGAGCAGCGTGCAGAAACGCAAGTCTCTCAGCAGCATGCATCGAGAAAAGAGCAACATGAGTACGACGTCCAAAACCAGCGCTGCAAACGGCAGTGCTCGTGAGCGTCTAGAGAGGAAGACTAAAAGAACGGCTGAAGCAACATCCCGGAGTACTCGCTCTACCCAACAATCCTCTTCTTCCTCCAGAGCACGCCAGCCTTCCATGGATCTCACTGATGATGACCAGACTTCTTCTTTCCCCATCTCTGATATCCTCTCCTCAGACCAGGAGACCTACTCTGGGCCTTTGGGGAGCTCGACACAAAGACGCTGCTCAGAAGATGTCCTCCACTCCAAACTGGATAGCAGGTGTGCTAAAACATCCATCAGCGGCTCCTCGAAAACCAGCCGAACTCTCCAGGCAGCCACAACCTCCTCCCTCAACAAGCAGACCTCCCTTCCTCAGCCTCGGCCCACCAGGGCCTCCCTCCTCCGTCGTGCCCGTCTGGGGGACACATCTGATACGGATCTAGCCGATGCGGACCGGGTTTCCGTGGCCTCTGAAGTCTCCACAACCAGCTCCACCTCTAAGCCCCCGTCTGGTCGGAAGGGATTGTCACGGCTGGACCTGCTGGCTCAGCCACGGAGGAACCGCCTGGGCTCTATCTCAGCTCGCAGTGACTCCGAGTGCACGGTGAACCGCAGCTCCACCTCTTCCCCCCGCCTGTCCGCAGAGACCGCTCTGCGTCTCGGTCTGCGCTCATCAACGCCCACAGAGAACAAGCTGACACCGAGGATGAGAGCTAACAGCGTGTCCAAACTGAACGACACCAAGACTAAAACCACGACATCAGGCTACTGCTCGCCCACAGGTGAGCAGAACATAATAAGTTAATGAGTACGAACACCGTTTCATCAGTATGTAAACGTTAGTCCCACTCTGTTGTGATGAACTTGTTTATTGGTTTCCATCACTCAGATAGCTCTCAGCCTGAACCTGCAGGTGGAGATGCAGAGGAAGAGCTGATGGGTACTGTACCAGAGCCTGTGTGTGTGAGCGGGTCAGATCTGGGTCACAGCAGCAGAAGCTGCCGCCAAAACAAAATGAAAAATCTTACAATTCTTTACAGTTTTGTTAGAAAGTTCTAATCTTTTGCAACACACAATAGTTAATTTTTTAATATGATTCAGAATTTTAAAACCTAGCTTAGCTACGATGACCCAGCTCTACCAGATGTGTTAACTTGTGTCCTAACAGAAGAGGCTGAGTGATGTTTGCAGCTGGACTGACAGCTGGTGTTTGGTCATTCTGAAGCCGCTAAACGTGCAGCCGGTTTTCCTCTTGTGTTGGATGTTTTCATCGACGCTAAATAATAAACATGCTGTCTTAGGTGAAAATCAAAGTAAATGTTTCACCTCCTCACCAATGTGAATAATATTATTTGCATTTGTTGCTCTAGATCCATGCTACGCTAATCTGATCAAACTCACTTTCTGTTGCGTTTGCTGTTTTGTGATTCTCATCAGATCAGAGCAGGAATGGCTTGAGACTGCTTCCTAATAGTCTCCTGTGTGCTCTCAAGCTCTATTATTTCATTCTTTTAATCGAATTTATTTTGTATTGTTTATTTAAAAACTCATCCTTTTTCCTTGCAGTGTCCAGCAGCAGCAGGTGGAGGCGTCTGCCACCAGAGTACGGCTCCACCTCAGAGGAAGAGTTCAGCTCCAGTAGGAATTCTCCAAAGCACGGCGCTCGCTCTCACATGCGCCCTCATCACCTCGTCCCTCACCGGGCATCAAGACTCGGAGCCACCACCAGCTCGGGCCCGAACGCGGCGTCGGGTCCAGGTGGAGCCGGGATCAAACATCGTATGAAAGAGCAAGAGGAGTACATCAGAGACTGGACAGCACACAGCGAAGAGATAGCCAGGTACTTACCGTCACCATGTCTTGTTACCATGCAGATGTGTTCCATGAGTCCTAAAGAGCCCCGTCTGATTAACAGGTTATTCCCCTGTGTGCGCAGGATCAGCCAGGACCTGGCTAAGGACCTGGCCATCTTGGCTCGTGAGATCCACGACGTGGCTGGTGAGATTGACTCAGTCAGCTCATCGGGCACAGCGCCCAGCACCACCGTCAGCACAGCCGCCACCACCCCGGGATCAGCTATCGACACTCGAGAAGAGGTAGGCCCTGCACGTCCTACGCAGCCGGACATACAGGAGAGCATGAAAAAGGTGCCTGATTTTCTTCCTCTAATATCTCCCTTCTGTCTGTGCTTTCATTGCATCTTTGCCATTTATAGTTTGAATAATAACAACTGCCTTTCTGCTGCATTAAAATCGTCTTCTGCACTTTTATTCTGTCATTTTTTGTATCTAAATGTTATTCATGACTTTGCTGTTATAGCATTATTAGATTAATGTTTTATTTTTCTATTGGCCAAGTAAAATTAGAATATTAAAATGTGTTTAAACTTGTTTAAGGCAAGTTTCACATATTCTGACATTGTTACTCCTGATGAAACATTGATCTGTCTCCTGTCTCTTCTCCGTGTCTTCCTGCCTCTGTCCAGCTGGTGGATCGAGTGTTTGATGAGAGCCTGAAATTCAGAAAGATCCCGCCCGTGATCTCGTCCACCAAGGTGCCAGAGATCAACGGTAAGCCAGTGGAGCACCAACCCCGAGCTCCAGACAGCCTGGAGCCGCGGGCCTTGAGGAGACGCACCTGGAACCGAGAGGAGGTGAGGGACAGAACACACCAAACATGGTGGTCTTGAAGAAATCTCATAATTTTTTCTGAATTGATGATTAAACTCTAGTCTTGTTTTTTTTTAAGGCGGTGCTGGACAGCCTGCTCCTCCACTCAGTGTCCCAGCTGTCAGCTAAGATCAGACACTCTGTGGACAAAACCGCAGGAAAGATTAGGTAGTTATAATTTTCCTTTGGTAATCACAATATTTTTATTATTAATCCAACCCACATTGTGCTGAGAAAATGTGTTTTTGTATGTTCTGCTTTTCTAGGATTTTGTTCAAGGATAAGGACAGAAACTGGGATGAGATTGAGAGCAAACTGAAAGCTGAGAGTGAGGTACCACTCCTTAAAACCTCCAACAAGGTACAGAGCCACCTTTTCTGAATAACATTCAATAAAATTACTGAAAGTTTTTCCTCAGCGGTTTTCCTCTTTTCAGGAGTTCTCGTCAATTCTTCTTGAACTAAAGAGAGTCGAGAAGCAGCTCCAAGGTAAAGCAGAGGACACACACACGTTTACGCTTTGTTTTTTACCCTTTTAGGCTTTTTTGGATTTGATATAGAATTAAAATACTGAATATGATCAAAACAGAAAGTAGGGAAATAGATATGTCTGTGAAGGTTCTCAGTCATCCAGGTCATTGTAGTCTAATGAGCTTTGAAAGAAAAGTGTCTGGACTTCTTTGAGTTGCTTGAAGACGTTTCACCTCTCATCCGAGAGGCTTCTTCAGTTCTAAGGTCAAATGGTGGAGAGTCCCAGATTTAAACCCCGTGGGAGTTTCCCCCCGAAGAGGGAACAAAAGACCCCCTGATGATCTTCTACATAAACACATGCACCAAGGTGTGAGGGTGGGTGTGAACAGAAACTGGTTCACCCGAAAGACAAAACTCCTAAACACAAACTGAACAATGTGGTGTATGCTGTACAGTGCAGCGAGAAATGCCCAGACCTCTACATTGGAGAAACCAAACAGCCACTTCACAAGTGCATGGCACAACATAGAAGAGCTACCTCCACGGGACAGGACTCAGCAGTTCATTTGCATCTAAAGGACAAAGGTCACTCTTTCGAGGATGCTAACGTTCACATTTTGGACAGAGAGGGCAGATGGTTTGAAAGAGGAGTAAAGGAAGCCATTTATGTCCACTGTGAGCAACCATCTTTGAACAGAGGTGGTGGTTTACAACACCAACTGTCTGCCATCTATAATCCAGTTTTGAGATCCCTTCCCAGATGCCTCAACGCCCACGCATATCCTGGGCCATCTGACCTCAGGAATTCACATGATAGGGTGGGGCCAGGCTTCACAATGAGCTCAGCCGAAACTCTGGCTGAATAGGACCCACACCCACCCTCACACCTTGGCGCATGTGTTTATGTAGAAGATCATCAGGGGGTCTTTTGTTCCCTCTTCGGGGGGAAACTCCCACTGGGTTTAAATCTGGGACTCTCCACCATTTGACCTTAGAACTGAAGAAGCCTCTCGGATGAGAGGTGAAACGTCTTCAAGCAACTCAAAAAAGTCCAGACGCTTTTCTTTCAAAGCTCCTTAGACTAGGGAGATAGATAAAAAAATATATTAGGACTCATTACTTCCTTTAGTACCAACATTCTACGTCTTCTAGATCTAATGGTGTTAAAGTCTTCCCCATCTGTCTTTGTCTCAGTGATCGATGTGATGGTAGATCCAGATGGGACTTTAGATGCGTTGGCCAGTCTTGGCCTGACCAGCCCCATCACCCCGACCAAACCTCTAACCGCCAAAATGGCTGCCACCAGCCCAGCCAGAGAACCACTGCCTGAGATCCTCCCTGGGCCTGGAGGCTCAGCCGCCTCCTCCAGGGTCCAGACTTCTTCCACAGAGGCGAGTGCACGAGAAACCACCGTAGGGTTGGGACTGCCGGGAGTTGGGGGGCTGCCCTTCAACCGCATGCGGCCAAGTGGAGAGGGGGCCATTGCTCAGAAATGAACAGGAAGTCTCCCTGAGATTACATTCAGGTGAATAAATAGGATTATGGGCCGGTGGCCGTTGATCAGTGTTTCCAACAGGGATGTGGGTGAACAAACTGTGGTTGCACCATTCTAGGATTACAGGAGATCAACAAATGATTTAGAAAAGGCGTTTCTCTCTGGAAACCAAGACTCAACTTTCCAACCCCTACCTGATGCATCAACATCTCCTCCCCCAGCTGCTCATGCTCACAGGCCAACCTCCCATCCTGTTGGACTAAAGTGGACCTTCTCTGATCCTCTTGCCTTCTTCATGTGTCTGGACCCTTCTTCCTAGAAGCACACGCCTTAAAGTCTCCCTCTGTGTGACCCCCCTTCTAACCTCAAACACTATTCAAGACCGTTTTCAGGAGTTTCATACCGTACTGACAAGCTGAATGCATCATAAAGTAACTGTTACACGTTCTAAACCCATTAGTCAATCAAACTGCAATAAATTATCAGCTCAAGTTCAGCAGTAAACACATTAAGCTAAATTTAGCTTTTTATTTATGTGATTGAATTCTGAATCACAACCGTCCATTCAGTGATATAAAACTGACTTGTAACCCCAACACACACACACACACTTCTGAGTTTACGAACGTCCTCCATACGGATTCTTCTCCCAGTAGCTGAGAAGTTTGTCCCTGCTGTAGCATTTACTCAACACAACAGCAACTTGGTTTGTGTTGATCTGACTGATCGTTTGTGTTTTTCCTCATTTATTACAGTGGCAGCGTTGGAATCAACGATTAATAATCAGTGTGTCATCACATTTTCAAACACATCTGTTGAGCAAAAGCTGACTCTGCAGTTAATCTGAATGCAAATTTCTCTTTTCTGAATGTCGATACTTGTTTTATACCAACAAATCAGCGAGTTTATTCAGCATAATGAAGCAAATCTAATCTGTGGCCTTAACTTTTGGCTACAGTAAATCCACTGAAGTGTCAGTTTAACTTCCGATTGGCTGTTTTTTTACAGGGTATTTGCAGGTTTAAGGGAGCCAAATTTAAGACTTTAAGACCTTTTTTAAGGCCACTTTGACCAAATTTAAGCTAGTTTTTGTAATTAAATTTAAGCTATAATTTCCAGCTATTGCCTGGAACCGGTGCTAACCACGTCGTGAACGTGGGATTAGCCATCCAGTTACCATTAATGTTGCACTTCCCCATGGCGCAAACTCCCGCTAGCATGCTCATCTGAAAATAGCCCCCTTTCATAACCAACCGAATGTGTACGGTTCCGCATACGCCAATATCATACACAAAAAATGCCAAACTAACTAGAAATTCATGAAACTTTTATAGAAATAAAAGAATCTTATTTATTGGGTCTTTGGTAATTTAAGACCTTTGGAAACTATTTAAGGATTATTTGTCATTTTTAAGGCCTTAAATTTGGAAAAGCAAATTTAAGACCTTTTAAGGACCTGCATATACCCAGTTTTAACTCGTCACATGTGAAACGACCACGTTTTTGCGTTTAAACAGAACGTTTGGTATTTGAATACTACAATTTAAAGTTTTAATGTCTAGAACTTGACAGGAAAAAGTTGCAGGAATTAATTTTAAATAAGGAATCCTTTTTTATTTGTTAAAAAATGTCATTTTTTTAAAGAATCGGCTCCACCATTATTGTTTGGGTTTTGGCTCCATATCAGTGTAAAATCCTGACAGGAAGTTTGTCTACCATGATGGAAGTTCCAGCATACATGTACTGTAAGACTTAAGCTTTTCCAAACGACGTTGCTGCTTTTGTAGTTACTTCACAGAGACTGATCGTTTGCAGAACCTCTCAGCTTGTGGTCTGTGTCTAGACTAGAGTAAGGTGACCTAAAGGCCGTGTATTAGAAAGCTAACAATAGTGGTTTTAGGTACCAGATTGTGTATTCATGTCCTTCTCTCCTTACTGTACTGTACAATGATTTAATGCCTTAAAGTGCCCGTTTTACAGCAGAAGGGCATTGGTCAAAAGAAAAAGGTGTATTTTAAAAAATTTTTATTTTGCACATCTGGTTGTCATTTGTTCATGCAAAGTGATGACTCAGCGGCAGATTTTAGTGATATCAGAAGCGACTGCTCTGCCAAGTATTTTATTTTATTAAAGCCTCTAACATTTTACCCATTTTTTTCCTCCTGACGTTTATCAGAAACATTTTAGGGGACTGTGAATGCTTGGTACATTTAGGTTTATTTTGTAAATGCTACATGTGTCGTCAGATCAGTGTTCTTTGTATTTTTTGCTTTCTTATTTTTGTAAAGAAAACCACCGTTTTATTTATTTTAATATTATGTGGATGTTTTAAGCATTTTATATTTGTTCAACTATCTGCATTGGTTCTTACTGTTAATAAATTCTAATAAATACTGTTAATATTCACTTGTCTGTTCTGATTTTTGGTACAAACAGAAGTTTTAGTTTAAATAAATCTCCCCATCAGACAGTAGCAGTAATTTTGATTCATGTGTTACTTGGGTTTTTTATTTTGAAAATTTTTGTTTAATTGTATGTTACGCCCCTGACAGGAGGTGTTAAAATGTGAAGGAGGGGTAACAAGAATTGCGACAGTGGAGTTAAAATAGTTTTGTTGTAAAAGGCTCTAAAAGCAAGAGCAAACAGATGGCGAGCATTATTAAAATAATGCAAAACGAAAATGTCACTATAAGGTTAACAGTTAAAAGACAAATTATCAACTATATAAAACACCTGGTTAAAACTTTGTTTTACCAAAACTGAAGGTGTTTAAAAACATAACGGAGTTGATAAAAAGTCTAAAAACTAAAACCAAGTTGACAAAGATCCATGTGGATCACTCAAAAACTCATCAAACCAAAGGGGTTAAAACCAAAACGAGGCCTGGAGGACAGCAGAACCCCTGCACTGCTGCCTCCCAGACTTGTGAAGGCACAGCCTTTTTATCCAGGTGTTGGTCAGCAGGATTCAGCTCAGCTGTGCTCCTCAGCAGCCTGGAAGAGAAGAGGAGGGGCGGTGTCAGGCTGATCACCGGGCTGGGTGATTCTGGCTCCAGCATCCCAATGGCCAGGCTGGTAGCCGTAACAGTATGCTTGTGGTCAGACCTATTGTTTTCACTGAATAGAAGCAGTCCCTTTTTCAGCAGATGCAATCAATCTTATGTCAATTCAAAATGCAAATGATGCTGGAAGCCTTTTTGTACGGCTTAAACCCGTCCACATTTTCAAACAGTAAACATCTCTTAAGAGGAGCTATTCAAAAAGCAGCAGCCCAGCTGATTATATCATTTATGTGAATCAGGATCAACTACATACAAAAATACCCAGAAATTACAATTTTTGGAAACAGGAGCAGTCTTTTCATTAGTTACAAGGTTGAAAAAGTCTTGAGCTGATACCTAATCAGCATGAATCCAACCATTCTACTTTTACTTTAAAAACAACGCAGAGCAATTCAGTTTATTGAAGACAAGAGTCTGAAGAGTTGTGAATTTTATTAACATGTTTGCATTTCCAGATTTGTGTAACTCATTTCATTGTGATACATCCTGAATTTAAATCTAGCAACACTGGACGTCAGGTGACAGATATGGCAAAGCGGCCTGTGCAGGAGGACGGAGGTTAGCCAGGAGGCCAGCCCAGAATGCGTCCACCCAGGATGTGAATGTGGATGTGGTAGACAGACTGGCCGCCATCCGGCCCGTCGTTGATGACAATCCTGTAGCCTTTAGCCAGACCTGCGTCTCGGGCACACTTCTTTGCAACTATCAGCATGTGACCTAACAGCTACAAAACAAAAAATAGCATTTACATGTATTTCTACACACACACATGCACACACACACACACACACACACACACACACACAGTCCCTAGCCTGGCAAGCTCTGAGAAACTAAAAAAAATGGCTCCCTCTAGCGGTTACTGATAGTGTTGCTCTACAAGTCAGACATGATTTAGCATTTATCCACATCCCTCAATTTAAAGAAATAAACGGAAGAATCCTACTTACAGCAGCATCACTGTCCTCGGCTTGTGACAGCTGAACAATTGGTTTTTTGGGGACGACCAGGATGTGAGTGGGAGCTTGAGGAGCAATATCAGGGAAGGCAACACACTGAAATAAAAGGAACCCCATCAAGAATGTGTAGCAAACACGTTCAAAACCACGTGACAAACGTGTAAAACTCGTCCCCCGAGCTAATCGGTTGTTGTTTCTAAGATGACAAAAAAACGACAAATATGCCAAAAGGGAAAAGTGAAACTGCAAAACTGAACCATGCACAAAAGTCTGTTTTCAAACTATGTTTTCGGATATATTGTGTTAATTCTGTAAAGTTTGCACGTGGACTCGCTTTCCAGTCTGGGTAATTCAATACGTAGTAAAAACTTCCCTATGATCCGTGTGTGTTTGCAGAGCTAGCGAGAAGCTAACGTGTCCTGCAGGAAGCTGCAGCACGCTGCTCTGAAGCTGCTATGCGCATAAAATTGTCACCGAGAGGACATGTAGCTACTTACCAAATCATCTTCATAAACTAGGTTGACAGGAATCTCTTTGCGAACTATTTTCCCAAATATTGTATCTCCGCCCGGCCGGGCAACCTGTGCCTTCGCCGTTTCATCAGCCATGTTTGGCTTTCGATTGATGTGGTAGCAGCAAGCCAATGTGGAAGATGGAAACCCGCTGTGACACATAATCAAACCGTCGTGAATGCTTCTTATTTTATTTTTTTAGAAATAAAAGAACTTTGTGGGCAGATACCGTATATTTATTTAATGCATACTACTAGCCTTTCAAATGTTAATTTTAAAAATTACTTGAAAAATCTTAAAGTTTCATTTTGTTTATTTCTCAAATATACGGCAAAATGGCTAGCCAAACAAGCTATTTTAGGCTAGCTAAAGCCAGGCTGAACGTTGATTGGCTACCAAATAAACGTGACTTCAAAAGCTTCGCTTATTGGTTAATGTTCACTTACCTCGGAAGTGAGAAAAAGCCAACATGGGGACTCGTTTGAAGGTGAGGGAGGAAAATATTGTAGATTTTATAAAAGTATCATTAATTAATCCACGCTTTATGATTTAAATTAATTTTGTCATTTTAGCACAATATTTTCGGTTTTTTCAATGCGGTGAATTTTGATAACTGTTGTCAAGTGATGTAGAAAGCTTTGTGTATAAATGCAGGTTTTACGCGTGTTTAAAAAGCTGCACAGAACAAGGATGGATGTGTTTAAAGAGGATGAAACAGCGCTGGGTGGTGAGTTACACAACGTTTTTTTATTCACAAAACCGCGTCTGGGATTTGTGTGCGTTAATCATAACGTTACGGACAGTTTCCGATGCAAAATGATTTTGCTGCCTTTGCATATGTCTGCATAGGATGTACTACTGATCACATGCCTGTTTTCTTTGTTGAAGCTGCAAGATTAAAGATCAATGATGAGTTCAAGAAGAATAAAAATGAAGTATCTGAAGAAAATATTCAGAAGGTATAAATGTTTAATTTTTCTTACCTACATTAAATTTTTATTTGATGCTTTCTAACTGGATCCGTTTCAAATAAGATTTCTATCTGGTCAGTAGATATTAATTTAATTTGGGTCAGAACATGGTGATATATCAGTATATCTTTTCTTGTATTTGTACAGAGTGAAAACTGAAGAGTTCTTTTCATATTTTAATATTACAGATGATCAAAATGGGCTCTGATGTGGAAACAGTTCTTCGTGAGTCTGTGGTTCAGATGGAACATGTTGGAGAAAACACACTCTGTATGAAAACATTTTTTCTCTTCTTTTTATAAGAAATATTTGACTAAACCAACATTTACAATCTGATGAAAGAATGTCTCAAAACCTGCTGACGATTGTTATTTGACGTTGTATTGTATTTACTCTTCCTATGTCCCTCAGTGCTTCGACCAAGAGAAGGCCTTCTACAGGAAAATGTACCTTACTGTGATGAACCCAGGAAAAAGTCATGAAAGAATATCAGCAGAGACTATCATCCATCACTTTGATTTACTGTTTAAAGGATTTAACCAGACAGCTTTAAAAGCTGTTCAGGATCTCCAAAGTGATTTTTTTTACCAACTCCTGGAAGAGAGAAGATCCCCCTTGTTCTGGATGCACATTGTGCAAACGTCCCTGCTCACACATATCATCCTTTGAAATGTCCTTCAAATGTTTTGTTTACATTTTAGTAGCTTGCTATGAAATCAGACTGGCACAAAATATTCTTTTGCTGCTATTAATCATAACTGCAGACTTGTAGCTTTTTGGCAAAAATAACTGTTTTTGAAGCCAAATGTGGCGTTCACATGAATCGTGTAGATCTGAAGAGTTTTGTTTTAAGGGGAAGGGGGGTCTTTCGTCGGCTTTGTGATAGATAGTTGCTTTTTTTAGATCAAAAATGTGTCTGACACTACATGCCATTTCCTACAAAAGCTATTCAATCACAACAGTGCTTAGGACAATTTAAAGTGCAAAACATTTAAGAAGATTTAGCAAGGTAAAAAACAGTTTCCTCTTTCAACATCTCAGGCTGTGGGAGAAACGTGCTCTTAAAAAGTACTGAAACCCTATTGGAAATGTCCAATTCTTGTCTTAAATTTAGGTTATAAAATCCATAATGGGTCCATATGTTAGCTTTCAATGTCTTTGAGCAGCTTTAGAGATATTTATGCTGCAGTTCAAGGGTGTAAGAAATAAATAACATGAAATTAAATGTTTGGCTTAGTTTATTTGAAACCAATGGTCTCATTTTTAGACATGCTTAAGCATGGGCCAAGTTGAGTTTAATGCAGAAAATAATAAAACTAAAAACCCATAAACTTCCAGTAATATCTGGGATGTTTATTTTTATTCTCCTTCACTAACCAGCTAACTACAAACTTCAATCTTGTTCAGTTTGCACAGCACAGTCCAAGAAGGGCAGTTGGTTGTTGTGTGGATCTTCCCTGGTGAACTTGATGTTCTTGTCCATTCTGGACAGAGAAGATAGATGGTTTGAGAGAGGAGTAAAATAAGCTGTCTAGGTCAAACGTGAAAAAGAAACCAAAGAAGTTGCATTCCTCTGAACCCTTTGGATTACCATGAACTGAATGACCAAGAATGTTGGTTATTGTAACCGATTGTAACCCCAGATTCTATGAGTCTAGTCGCAGCCCTTAAGCTAGCTATATACCCACAGGGGTGCGCACCATTGGTGGGCGTACATTTAAGCTCTTCATGATTGGCTGATGCTGAGATAATCCTTCCTATAGCAGCTAGCTTAAGGGCTAAGACTAGATGAAATAGAACCTTCACCAGCACACCAAAAATAATCAGAAAAGAAATGCTGTTCGTATTTCAGATACTTTTTTTGTAAAACTAAACTTTTAATTTAGTGTAATTGGCCTAATGTCTCAATTCTTTATCTGGCTTTTGAGAGTACAGATTTTCTTCCGCCCTCTGGCGGACACCAGTCGTTACTGCAGCTTTTAAGACAACTCATTTCCTGTAGATTCCATTAAAATAAAACAATCATTAAAATTACTACAGTATTTAAGTGTTATAGTTGATCTAGATGACAGGAAAGTCAGAACATCTTCACTTTTATAAACTACTTAATTACTAAAACTCAAACAAGATTAAATCAAGGAGCTATCAGCAGCTAGCTATAGCAATACTAACAATAACCACATAGATCATCTTTTTTTAAAGGTACATATCTTGTTTTAAACTATATATATATATACATGTGTGTGTGTGTGTGTGTGTGTGTGTGTAAAAATTAGTATTTTTATTTTTACATCCTTGTGATGCAAGTTGTGAATGCAGCATTGAGAATTATTCCTACAGCCACCATCACTGAAACCAGCAAGCTGATAAACACTTCAGCAGTGATCCCTGAGATATTTGGCTATAAGAGCAAGAGCAACCATGAGCAACAAAACCCACCTTGGAAAAAATAGTTGGAGGCCAAAATCAACGCAGCACGGAGAGAAATGAGTAGACTCGGAGCTCCAAAAGAGTCCAATGACCCTACCAGGACCCATGAGGTACAGCCAGAAACCCATACCTAAAGAGATCCACAAGAGAAAGTGAAGCCAGACAAATAAACTGGCTCTTCTCGACCCAAACAGCTAAAGTGTACCCTCAGTGGCAGGGTAATAATGACAGAGCGGACTGGACCAGAGACTGAACAAAACTGGAAGGACATTTAGGGAAAGGAGGCATCACACAACAGCAGTGCAAAGTATCTAGCCTCTAAGAGAAGACCACTGGATTGATAACAAGAAAGCCTATGACTCATTACTGCACTCATGGATCACTGAATGCTTGGAGCTGTATAACATCAACAGGACTCTGAGAGCCTTCTTTGCAAACTCAATGGGGCTGCAGAAAACCACCCTTGAGGCCAAATCCACAAGTCTCCATCAAATGTGGCATATACCAAGGAGACGTCCTATCCCCACTGCTGTTCTACATAGGTCTGAACCTGGTCTGAACCCCTCAGCCAAATAATCAAAAAGACTGAGTATGGATACCAACTCCAGAATGGAACCACAATTAAAAATGCTCTCATAATTAAGACTTAGTATCTCAATATTATGAGACAGTTTATAATTTTTATGATATATTTAAAAAATGTATATAAGTGGCGAAAATGGGCGTCCATACTCAGACGCTGGGCTGTACGTTTTTACTACATTTCCCATAATGCATAGGAGGACGTAACATGGGAAGCACCGCCGTTACTCTGGCAACGATCCCTGCAGTTTCTTATGTAGCTTAGCTTGTCAGCGTAAAATATCCAGTTTAATGGCAAAACTAACGTAAGAATCTGTACCTATGGGATCCTTATTACAAAATAACGTTATATCTAACACTCTAGGACATTTTGTTTCACTTCTGACCCTACGTTTTTTTTTATTTTGAAGCTCAGACACGATATGGGAGCTAGCTGCTTCGGAGGTCCTGAGTCGCGAGAACGGAGCACCGGAGGAGGACGGGGCAGACACGGTGTGCGAGAGGAGCGTGTTTCTGATGGGGAGCAAGGCTGGGGTTCGTTAGATCTGGTGTCAGGGCATTCACTGCTCTGTTGTGAAAATAATTAAATATCTTTGAGTTTAAGGTAGTAAATCAGTTGGTCTTTTTCAGGGTAAAACATCTATTCTTCTCAGGTGTCTTGACAGGTAGGTTTGTGGAATGATGTGAGGTAACTTTATGCTTAAGATCTGCTTTCAACGTTAAACCCAGATGACGGGAGCATAACATAGATTATTAAACCTATCAACCATGTGTATAAAATTGACCAAAAACACCTCAAAGCTTTCATATTTGTTATTGTTTTATAAAACATAAACAAATGTTTTATTTTGTTTTGAATCCTGAAGGGATGAACCACCTAAGCCAACTCTGGCGCTGGAGTACACGTTTGGAAGACGGGCTCGGGGACACAACACAGTGAGATTAATTAAGACATAACTGATGTGACTGTTTAAAAACGTGTTCATGATTATTTATTTATTGCTATAAGTAGCTTTTTAATCTGTAGGAAGCAGAGGAGGAGCCAGACATTTCATTCATCAGGGGCCTCATTTATCAAGCTTGCTTACGCGCAAAATGGGGTCGGAAAACTGCGTAAGCAACTTTCCACGCAAACTTTGGGATTTATGAAAGAAAAGTTAGCGGAAAAATGTGCGCAACTTTAAGTTGACTAAGGACCTGGCTTACGCACATTTTGCACATGGACAGCACCTGTAGTGCTGCTGCTGAGAAGGATAAAATTATGAAATCCTGCAGCATTATCACTTGTACTGCTTCGTTTTCACACAGAACTAGACCCCCCACACGTACACACACACACACACACACACACACACACACACACACACACACACACACACACACGCAGCCTGAAGTGCAGAATACGGAATGCAGAAATCAGCAGGGGGATAGCTTGAGACAGAATGTCATGCGTCTGTGACAATGTGTGTCCTGTCACTGTGACCCGATTGATCATGCGCCTTGGCTAGTTGAAGAAGGGAGATCTCCGTTTGGGTAACTGGTTAGCGCGCGTGACTTTCACCTTGGAGTCTGGGGATCGAATCCCAATTGGACCACTTTTTTTATATCCGCCACAGATCTCTCTGAAGAACTCACAACATTGACGGCTTCAGCAACGCTGTGCCACTCTGTGGATTTTCTCTTATTTGTTTTGCAAAAGCACTTCCTTTCATTTCTCCACCTCACCCACAAGTACCTCAATTTCTGCTTGTGAAATAGCGCTTCCTTGATCTACGGTTGCCATCGATCGACATTGGCGTAGCGCAGCAACAGCCGGCTTATGTATATGCATGAGATCCACAAGGCACTTTGCACCATTGGCGGTTTTATCATTAGGCATAGGTCAGCGGCCGCCTGGGGCCCCCTTATGTTGAGGGACCCCTAGCCCTGACTGCTGGCACCCCTCTGTTAATGCCACAATTGACTATTCCTTTAAGACGCCGATGCACAAACAGGAAGTGCTTGGTAGTCATTCCACTCCAATCCAGTTGGTGGTGGTAATGCACCAAATTGTTGTTTGCCAAGTGCCGTAAGACCACAAATAAGAAAAAGAAGAGAAAGCAGAAAAAGAAGAAGAGAGGCGGGAGCGTTCGTAACAAACTCGAAGCGGTAGTCAAAACATCAAGCATGAAATAAAGTTATCCTAGTGGCTCCAATAAGAGAACAAAGCAGCTTGCTTTAAAAAAGCTTTTATCTTCGCTTCCAAACTGACGTCGTTTTTCAATGTAAACATCAAAAGGAAGCAGAAAAGGAAAGACAATGGAAAATGTTTAAAGGGAGGAAAACAGACCAAATTGGAAAATAGAAAATAATAAATATAAGACAAAAGTACTGGAGCACTGACAGGAAGAAGAAAGCAGAGCAAATATTGAAGGGAGAGAAAGACAGGGAAAAAGAGGAGGACTAATAAAAAGTGAAAATAACTCATGGCAGAAGAGGGAGGAGTTTTGCAAATCCAGTTAAAGATAAGATTGTCAAAAATTTTGTGTAAGGGGCCCCATGTCTGTGTTCGCCTTGGGCCCCCAAATTGCTAAATCCGCCACTGCATTGCATTGACTATTTATGGCAGTAAGTGGGCGTGGTGAGGGCGGGATGTGACTAAAAAGCAGCTGAGCACCTTTCTAGATAGTTTCTGATTTATGAAGCGGAGATTGCGTGCAGCTGTGCGTACTCCATGTTTGATAGATCACAAACCTACTTGGCGTAAGTAAATTATTTTGCTGAGCTTAAGTACGGCTTTAGTAAGGATTCTACGCAATGTTTGATAAATGAGACCCTTGGGGCTTAGCCCAGATGCCAGAAATAATGTGCTGTGCTATTCAAGGTTTATTCAACAACAATATGAATGCAATAAGATCGATGAGGCAAACTATCACAAATGTAAAGAGCTCATATCAAACACCAGGTCAGAAATGTTAACGGTTCAAAAAAAGGACTTCAGGACTGGACCAGAATCAAAACAAGATTGCCCACGCACCACAAAAGACCCGAGGGATTCTGAAAAACCAGCCCGGGTCCGCCCCTGATCGGAAGACTTTTGAGCTCTGATTCAGGCTCAGGGTTTTAAACGTTTTTTGAAACTCACTTGTTTTCAACAAATTCAGATATATGTAATCGTTTTAGTAAATCCTTCAGAAATGCAGAACATGATTACAGTTATGACGCTCTTTCAGCTCAAAGACGTAGCCCACCTATGGGAGCTGGGGGGAGGAACTTCTTTGTCAGACCTGATCCAGATACCCATCACACCTGCCGCTCTAAGGTTGGTTTCTTTTGTTCAGTTTAACTCTTTTCTAGTAACCTTGCAGCGCACCAATAGTCTGTATTTTCTCAGGTTTCTCTCAGTCATCCTGATCCTGGACCTGTCTAAACCCAACACTCTGTGGGCAACCATGGAGAAGCTGCTGCACGCAGCACAAGCTCATTTTGAAAAAATGTCTTCCCAAGCACAGAAATCCAAATCTGGGGCCAAATACCAGAATCCTGTTCACTCAACTGCTCGGGTTTTACCTAAAGACTACCCCGTAAGGCCTCATCCTTCATTCTGTTCTATTCTCTTGTTTGGAGAACAGAACAACAGGATCAAAAACTTACATTCTAGTATGTATCTGGTACTTTCAGGACAGAGAGCTGATCAGTCCTTTTCCCGTCCCACTGCTCATCGTCGGCAGCAAATACGACCTCTTCCAGGTAAACACCCGCATCCTCGTTACTTGGCTGAAGGACTTCACTGTAATTCATGAGACAAATTCAGTTCTTTTTAACTTTGTTGCAGGAATTTCACTCGGATAAGAAGAAAGTGATCAGCAAAACTCTGCGTTTTGTTGCCCACTATTACGCAGCTTCCCTGATTGTAAGTGCGCTTTTACCGCAATTTAATCTGTTGCTATCGAAGAGCATTTCTCCTTTGTGTTTTCTGTGTGAAATATCAGTTCACGAGCATTAAATCAGAGAGCCTCATGTCAAAAACGAAGAGCTTCTTCTCTCATCTGGCGTTTGGCCTGGAGAAAGGGTGAGGAGAATTCCCCCAGCGCTTTCCCACTATTGTCATGAACTATTTAGAATGTATTAGGTTATTTATGATGATGTACACATTTTTGTTTCATGTTTGTTGCCAGCAAGACTATGTGCTGTGATCCTGGTAAACCTACCATCATTCCAGCAGGCTCCGACTCTTTCAGCCAGATAGGTGAGCACAGCACCACCCAATGGCCAAATGCGGGAATGCGTAAAATCGTTTGAAAACAATCTTCAATTTTGACCCAGCTTGGATCTTTAACACGGGTCGTTTTATGTTTCATTTATTGTCCTTTTTAATTTAGGCTCCCCTCCTCTGACTGATGTAGACATAACGTCTCTTCATGCAAAAAACCCAAAGGATCTGTGGAAGAAAGTGTTTGAACGAGTCTTTCCCAACGAGGTAGTTCACTTTGTTCTTTTCTTTTTAAGAATCAGAATCCTCTGTAGCTTCAGACAAAAATGTGTGGTTTTATTTGTATTATTTGCCAGTTATGAATAAGATGACTAGTAAAAATGTAGTTTTACTGATTTTTTCTTGTCTCTGCAGAGTGCCAGTGAGCAAAGGGAGCTAAAGGATCCAGCAAAAGATCCACAGTACAGTGAGCCTCAGATAGATGCCATGAGAGCACAAAAAGACCAGGTAACATGTTCTTGCTCGAGTTTCAGTCCTTCACAGTTATGCAACAGTTATTAATAACCTTCTTAGACAGACCATAGAACTATATTGTGGCACGAGTTGGCAACTTCTGCTCTTTTAGCTGTGCTGTGTGTTCCTGGACTTTGTCTTTTATTTCAAGGACAGCAGGTAATAGATAAGAATTCATAAGAACATTTAAAGAAAAACTGAGAAGTTAAGTGTGACACAGTTAGGTTTGCAGGTAAAATGTTATGCAAAGTCATCGATTTAAATTAGAGTTGGGGTACCTTGACTTTGGTAACTTTATCATCATATTTTTCTTTGTTTTCATCCTCCTTAGTGACCTTCCTCTAAGAAAACGACTGAAATATTTAAAGCTAAAATGAACAAACGTGTTAAAATAGAGATCATTTATTAATCTCATATATATGTTGTTTCTTTTTCAAGTTGAGGTTAAAACCAATCCACCCGAGTCTTTCTTTACTCCTCCATAAAGAAAAATGATCTGAAGTAACCTTCTGCCCTGAAGTTACCTGAATGTAAAAGTGTTTCCATGACAGTCTCATTAAATGACAGTAATCATATCCTGTAGCCATAAAATCAGACCCGTGTTATCTCCCTGCCAGCCTACCGTGCTTCCACTCCTGCAGCTGAACCGCAGTAACCTGCATGGGTCCGACTCTTATCTCTGACTGACTCTCACCTGATGTCGGCGCTTCTCGCTCTGCTACTGGATCAGATTTAATGTGACCACTGTTATGCATCTCTTTTCTTGTCACAGGAGTTGGAGCAGTATAAAAGGAACGCAACAAAATCATGGAAAGGACTGGAACTGGAGACATAGAGACAACTTTATTATACACACACACACACACACACACACACACACACACACACACACACACACACACACACACACACACACACACACACTGTACAACACGTAAGACTGTAAATATAGTTAACGTTTTATATTTATTTACATGTGTGTGTTTTTTATTGGACTTCTTTGTGAGACACATGTTTTAATCAACCCAAAGAACATAATAAAACAATAGATCCTATAGTTTTTAAAAATGCTTTTCTGGTTTTATAAAACATTTAATTTTGGAAAATGTTTCTAAATTGGTGTTTTTTGTATGCAGAGAGCCTCTACGGTGCAGTAGAAGATGTTTTTCTTGACATTCAAGCTAGCTACATTTTTAAAATACATAATTTACATTTCCAACCTGCTTTTTTAGAATATAATAGACTTTATTGATCCCACAGTGGGGAAATTCACTGGTTCAGGCTTCATCCTCCCAATCTGTGTCTCCAGAAAACAGGAATGCTTGTTTCAAAGGGTTCAGATTGAAGTTTTTGACCATTAGGCACATTTTCTGCCAATATGTCTAACGTGATGTACACTTAGCATTCCAACGTTGCACCCGTGGGAAAACACACATTACGTTCATGTGACCAGGAATGTTTTAACAATTTAGCATGCTAGCTTATGTAGTGTGGTGTTTTCATGGTGAAAAACAAAGCAGTTGTTAGCTGTCATGGTTTATTCCTAACTTCAACAACAGTGCAGCTCAGTGCCACCACCATTCTGGGAAAACCCCACAAACTTCTAAAACCTGACCTAAACATCCTCAGAGGACGAGCTGCGTTCACAGGCAACGGGTCCGTCACATAAACGTTTCCCAACAACAACAGAACCAGACCCTAAACAGAACATGTGAAATATCTCCTTCAATTAAATTTGCAAACAGAATGGGACATTCCATCTGCTACATTAGAAAACCCAGCTGTGGCTTTGCGTCCTGTTTAACTGCCCCAAGCCAAGAATGTGTGATTCGTGCGCACAGAGGGGCAAGGGACGGTCAGAGGGCAGTTTAATGAATGGGTGAATTAAAAATGAAGTATTCACAATAATTTGAGTATGTTTCTCCAGGATTGCACATTTCACAGACAATTACATTATACATTATTTTGACTCTGTGAAGGGCATTTCTAGCAAAAATGCTCCAGTAAAACATCTCCTGCACCTTGAACATCTATCCATTAAAGCTGTGACCAAACGAGAAATGAACAGGAAAGCTTGCTGATATAATTCTTAAATACTTAATCTTACAACCTTATTCCTTGATTGTAGACGAGCCCGGGTTCTTCAGTGTATATATGGCTTTAATGATGCACAATCTTGTCTCTGATTTTGAAACCAATCATGCCCAACAGAACTAAGGCGGGCAGGAAAGCGTAGAGAAGAACAAAGTCTAAGGTGTATCGTGACAGAGCGCCAGGGTAGCCTTGATCAATGATCTGATCGCCCTTAGTGACCATACAAGCTCCTGGTAAGGGTTTAGACACATCTGGAACAACACACAGCACGACAACTTGTTAACTAATAGTATTTCTACAGGTATTTCACATTTAATCTGTGTCAAAGGTGCATGATTTACCATCATCCAATTAGAAAAAGGCTAGAATTTTCAATTTTATCATTAAAGAAATATCAGCTCAAATTCTGAGATGAGATCAGGCAACTTACTGCAGGTGAACTCCAGCTGGTGGAACTCTGTGACGATGAGCAGCTCACAGCTGTACTTCTGGAAGGTCAGATAGCTGAGCCACTGGAACACCAGGGGCATCTGCTGGGTGCTTCTGTTAAGAGAAGGTTAAAGTCACCACTATTACGTTTTCACAAGCATTAAAAACCGGATCAGTTACAAGCGGGCGAAGTATCGAGTATCTAACCTAAGGAAGCCAGATCCCACCAAGATTCCTGCAATGTTGAGTAAAGCCACTCCAGTGTTGACCATGTTAGGGTCTTGGACGATTCCCAATAACACCACAGTCAAGAACTCCCCTAGAAAGAAAATACACAGAATTAGACTTACAACTATAGAAATGGCTTTTATGAATTAAACACACACACACACATATATATATATATATATATATATATATACACACACACATATATATATATACACACACACACACACACATACATATATATATTTGTGTGTGTGTGTATATATATATATATATATATATATATATATATATATATATATATATACATATACACTCACATATAAATACACACACACAAATATATATATATATATATTTGTGTGTGTGTGTGTGTATGTATAATCTTGATGTGTTTTAGCGGTAAAGAAAATGTGAGCATGTTTAATCACCTACACACCTACAATATGAGGCACCATAACCACAGCAGTGAAGCACAAGAAGCGGAAACTATCTGGATGCATCCCCACCGTCCTGAGGAGAACAAGAGAAGGATGACCTGTTAAATCCTCACTGAGGGTAAAGTTGCAATTTACGCACATTTCCTACAAACCAATAAAGAAAGGAGGTGAAGATGGCGACACTCAGGACGCTGAAGGGCAGGATGTGGAGGATATAAGCCAAGAACATTTGCCATTTGCTGTAGAGTCCGTCCTGACTCTCCTGATCACTGACGGCTCGCAACTGAGGGACTTTTGGTGTAAAAACAGAAAAGAAAGAATACAAACACTGACATTACTAAAACCACCAGAGGTGTTCAGATAATCTGTTCACCTTGACTCAGTGAACTCAATTCTTTAAAAAAATACAGTTCAGCATAATATTCTATCAGTTATCTATGAAATCCAAGGTCAGAGTAATAATCCGATCACCACCTCTGACTGATGATGCTCGTTTGGTGCTTCTGCTCAATCCAATGTTTTATCATATGTTTTTATCTGATGTCCCGAGCCCTAAAGCATAGATAACATACTCTACTGATAAATATGGAAGACTCCCAGCAACTCAGCTAGCTTATTTCAAATATAACCTTTCAGATGAACGCAGATTACAAGAGATTATATAACAAACGTTAGAGAGATTGGACCAAAACAGCTACAAATCCATCATTTCTCAAAGGACGATCCTAATTTAAGACATTGGTGAACAATATGCATTCCTGTGAAGAATGATGGAGTCTTTGATTGTTATAAAATAACTGTTGTTGCAGATCAGAGATACTAGTTTTGAAATTCATACACATTCTCACATCTGGGAATATTTCAGGTGACATTAGGTCCCAGAAGCAGCCATTAAAACAAATAATCACAGAGAGATTCAAATACCCGTGCAAACAGATCATCTAGATAGCACCGAAAGGTGCTTTGTAGGTTAAAAGGTACTCGGGTTCACCGAACTCGACACAGAGAAGAGTTCACTAACCCCTGAACGTAAATACCAACGAAAGCACTTTTCAAACTACTGATAAATCATCTGTGAGGGATATTCTTTACAATTTGGAGCAACTTTTAAACCATTTCATTTGCTCTTTTATTTTTGAACCGCACATCTAACCGATCCTTTCAGTGACATCTGTTTTGTGTTTGCGTTTTCTAGAGCGTCCCTCTCCCTGACTCAGATGTTTCAACTCACAGAGCGCGACGGCGTTGAGCATGCCAGTGTAGGGCACAGCCGCCACACACTGATAGATGATGCCGATGCGGTCCTGCACAGCTCCCTTGGTGACGTTCATGTCCAGGTGCATGATGAAGAAGGCCACAAAGAACCCGTAGATCAGGTTCTGGGACAGACGCATGAGAACACCCATCCTGTCCCTGGAAAGGTTTCTCACTGTGCGCCTGAACACCAAACACAGATACACACAATCATTTATGAATATGGAAACAAGTCCATGGAAATGGTCACTTTAGTGGACTGTTCCGAGCTGCACTCACCTGAAAAGAACTTCGAGCTTGGCAGCACCGTTGGGCGACTCTTTGCTCTTAAAGGGGATGGCTGGTTTGTCTGATGCCTGCAGGCTCTGCTTCATCAGGTCCAGCATGTTCTGGTAGATGTCAGATCTCTGGTAGGATGAAGTGATCTCATGCATGCGGCTGAAAGTAGCCGCTTCCCTCTCGCTGCTGCGTGTGTCCACCGAGGTGAAGTCAACTGTTTCACATCACCCAAGTTATAATGTTCAGGCTTACACACTTATAGTGGTGTAAAGAGTATTTGGCAGTCACCAAATATGAGGCGACAATAGCAGAGGAGTTAAGTGTCCATCCCGTAATCGGAGGGTTGCAGGTTCGAGCCCCGCTCAGTCTGTCGGTGTCGTGCCATTGGCTGCTGGTGGTCGAAGGCGCCCGTGTACCGCAACCTCGCTTCTGTCAGTGTGCCCCCGCGCAGCTGTGGCTATATTGTAGCTCATCACCACCAGTGTGTGTGTGTGTGTGTGTGTATGGCTCATTACGTTGTAAAGCACCTTGGGGGGTTCTAGGACTCTAGAAGGCACTAGGTATTATTACATTATTACATTTACCATGTGAGTTGTCCCACTTAAAACTATGAGAGGTCTGTAATTTTCATCATAGGTTTATTTCAGTGGCGAGAGAGTGTCAAAGGATGGATTTGTGTAATGTTCAGAAAATAAGAATTTAGCTCCTACAAACAAACAGGACTTCTGGCCCCCACAGCTCTTCTACCCAAGGTCAAGATCATTGAAATCTTCCTTCGACCTGCAAGATCTCACCTCACGAGGTAAAAATGATCTAGACACGGGGTGAACTGGTCAATGACCTGAAGAGCGCATGTCCAGGATCATCTGATGGGTGAACTCTTTGGTAAAAACGCCACTCGTCGTGTTGGGAGGTGGAAGAAAGCTGAGTTGCATTTCAAAACAATCATACTTACAAGGAGGCATCAGGGTGGAAACATAGGGTGGAGCGTGCTTTTCTGCAAAGGGGACAGGATGACTGACCCTTCATACAATGTGGTTCCCTGATAAAAATTACAGGCCTCTCTACTTTTAAAGTGGGACAACTTGCCCAACAATCGGTACCTGCCAAATACTTTTGTCCCACTGTAGACTGTCTGTGAATAAAAGGGTTTAAGTGTCAGTTTATTACCGTAAATATCAAATGGGTTGCAGTACTCTGGACATTCATATCCACACTGGCTGAAGAAATTCACCATATCCTCTGGCTGCCCGCAGAACACCATCTGTCCTTGACTCATTATCGCTATCCTGCTAAACACCTGAAAGGTAACCAGTTACTTCTAAACCCACACAAGTTTCAGGAATCAGTTTTTCCAGGTGTACAGTGTTGGTGGAGAAATCTGGAGGGATGCTATTCCAAACATCTTGGATAAAACACAATCCTTCAGGGTCAAATCTCCTTCATAGTTTACACAGTTCTGTGTTTTTGGTGAAAAGTTTGAAAAAAAGCAAGTGTCAGTTCGAGTTTTACTGTTGAAACCCACCCTGAAGAGCTCGGAGCGAGGCTGGTGGATGGTCACTATGACGATGCGGTTCCGTCGGGCCAGCTCTGCCAGCAGCACCACAATCTGATTGGCGGTCATGCTGTCAAGGCCGGTGGTGGGCTCGTCCAATAGGATCACTCCTGCAACGACACCGTCCTCGTGACCTCTCTGCAGGTTTTTCTCAGAGTTAAAGGCAGGACAACAACGCTGTTCCTGAAAGTTGGAAACTCATAAATGCACTTCTCATTAAGCGACACGCGCAGGACTCTCTGAGGGGCCGGAACTCGGGAAGATAAGTGAGTTCTCTTCTTTTTTCAGTTAATTACTCTAATTAGGACAATTAAAAGATTGCCTCTTTGCATTATAAAAGTAGAGTGGAATTAGCAGATGTTTTAATTGTGAGATTAATTCATTTCCTGGTTGATTGGAGAGGCAGCGAATGGGAACTTCTCATTACTTGTGTGTGTGTTCATGGCCATTTAATCCTGAATGAGGACTAAGACCCTTCAACCTCCCTGGAGAACTAAAAGCTGATAAACTACACCTGGGAGGAGCTCACACACACACGCACACACACACACACTGGTCTCTGCTCATTCCCTTCATAAGGTGATAAACTGGTCTTTTAATACTCCTCTCCATCTCTCCCTCTGTCCCTTCTGTCCTCCCAGGTCCGTTTGTTGTCTTCCTCTGTGGACTTTAACCCTCGCAGGAGGTTAAAACTCTTGCGGTGAGACAAAGGTCATGTGGTGAACTTTTTAGTTAACTGTATTTTAAGTGTATTTAACCCTCTGGAGGCAGGCGTTGCAGATTTGCAACATTAAAACCTACCTACCTGGTTACTCCGCATACGTATTTCATGAGCATTTTTTAACTCAGATGTACCTGTGAAGGACTTGGTTGTTCGTCCTTTCATCAAAACTTATCTTGAGCCTGAGAGGGTTAAAGTTCTTCTAACATGTTTCAGCTCTCCAGAGAAGATGATGATGACCAACTCTGATCTAGTGGTGATCACTTCTGTGTCTCATCTCAGGGCTTTATTTCTCAGCAGGAGAGGAACTTACTTGGATCCTGGAGTAACTGACTGGCAATGGAGACCCTCCTCCTCTCACCACCAGAGATCCCTGGGAAAACGCGACCTCCGATGACGCTGTGTGCCACATGACTCAGGCTCAGCTCTGCCATCACTGCTGACACCTAAACACAAGTCAAAAGTCAAACCTGTTGCTGTGTGAGAGACATTTTTTGTATTATTATTATTTTTTTATAAAAATAAAACGCAATAATTTAACTCTTGTACACTCAGATGGATTCTTGTCAGAAGCTTCAAACTTCCCCCAAAACGTCCACGTCGTTGTTTAGACTGAATCCTGTTTCAAAAACTCTAACCACCGTTCTTCTTGTCTTTCTATTTTTTTGTATATATAATTATTCTGTAAGGCGGAGAAACAAGACAAAGCTGCTCATAAAGATAGTTTAAAAGTGACCTTCTCCTTGATGGCTACAGTCGAGTGGTTCTGCAGTGCCAGCTGAGCTGTGTAGGTCAGAGTCTCCTCCACCGTCAGATAACTCAGCAAGTTATCACTCTGGAAGTCAAAGAAAAACAAAGAATTAAAAAGGCACCAAAAACAAGCCTGTAGCAACATATTAAGTTCACTGTTAATTCATTTTTATCAGAACCTTTTCTCCTTTTCTATGGTTAGTTAATTAAACTGAATTGGACTGAAGTCCACTTAGATTATAGTGAGAAATAAAATCTGTTGGTTGAAGCAAAAATATAAATAAAACAGAACAAATCATAGATGATTTAATGTTTAAAGACCAGGAATGTCTGATATTATTGGCTGATATCAGCAATAAAATGGATATTAGAAATGATCAGTATCGGTTTTTATTCTGCGTCTGCAATGATGCTGGCGTTCTACCGGTCTGTTGTGTGGAAGAGAGAGCTGAATCGCAAAGCCGATCTACGGTCCTACCCTCACCTACGGTCACGAGCTTTGGGTGGTGACTGAAAGAATGAGATCGCAGACACAAGTGGCCAAAATGAGTTTTCTCCACAGTGTGTCTGGGCTCTCCCTTAGAGATAGGGTGAGAAGCTTGGTCATTCGGGAGGGACTTGGAGTAGATCCGCTGCTCCTCCACATCGAAAGGAGCCAGTTAAGGGGACTCGGGCATCTCATTAGGATGCCTCCTGGGCGCCTCCTTGGTGAGGTTTTCTGGGCACGTCCTGCTGGAGGGACTATGTTTCTCAGCTGGCCAGGGAATGCCTTGGGAAGAGAGAGCGGGAAGTCTGGGCCTCTCTACTCAGGCTGCTGCCCCCGTGATCCCAGATAAGAGGATGAAAATTGATGAATTTTACTTTGTTTAATGAGACATTTAAAAAGCCTGCACATACAGTGAAACTTAAAAAATTAGGATCTGTCACAGGAATTAATTTATTTCAGTAATACTTACTTATATATCAGTTAGACTCATTACTTGTAAATCTGGATATTTTACTTTATTTGTTATATGATAATGAATGGTAAATGACCCGCACTTGTATTGCCCCTCAGAGTCAGAAGACTCCACAGATCCAGATTCAGATAGGTTTATTCAGTCAACAGACTGCTTCCATATTATTTTACAATAAATTAAAGATGCTTCTTTAATATACACCAAACAAGTTGACCAAAAAGGTATAGGCTGAATTATTGCTTATGTTGCCTACCCTTTGTCAACAAACTTAACAATGCAAGTACTAATCCACAGTGTACACATACTGTACATCAAGTTATCCAGCGAGTAAACAGAATATGTGTATTTTTTGTTCATACATATTCTTATATGTAAAAGGTAAGATTATCTCATTCAGTGACACTAATAGACAGAATTTTTATATATTTCAAGTGTAATACCTTTATATATTCTCTTTGGATGGGAGAGAGAGGGACATAATTTAAAGCGCTTTACGCTATAATGTATCATTCATGCACCCCCCCCCCCCCCCCACACACACACACACACACACTTACACACTGGTGGTGATGAGCTACAATGTAACCACAGCTAGTGCCCCGGGAGTGCACTGACGGAGGCGAGGCTGCAGAGCACTGAAGCCTTCAGTCCTTCCACCCACCAGCAGCAGGCAAGGTGGGTTACGTGTCTTGCCCAAAGACACACAAGCAGAATTTTCTGTCCAGAGCTGGGATCGAACCAACCTTCTGATTGTTGGACAACCCGCTGTACTTCCAGAGCTATTGCTGCCCCACACTGCTTTTTAAAAACCCCACATTCAAAACCTCAGACAATTAGAATATTGTGAAAAGGTTCAATATTCTAGACTCAAACTGTCACACTCTAATCAGCTAATGAATCGCAAACAACTGCAAAGGGTTCCTGAGCCTTTAGATGGTCTCTCGGTCTAAGTTGAATTACTGAAATAAATGGACAGTTGCACCCTATTCAAAATTTTAAAGTTTCACCTGAATTATTCCTCCAGTTCTTCAGCTACTTCTCCTCTCACTCAAAATGTCAACATATGACAGATCCAAGGTATAGTTTGAGATGTTTTTGTTTTTTTGGCACAACTGTCCCAACTTAAATTGATAGCTTTGCAAAGATGCATGATAGGAGGTACGTGATGTTAGCTGCCTAATACCCACTATACTTTAAAGGTCAACTTCACTGAAAATTACTATTATTGTTTCTGATTAAATCTCTCAGTCTCTGAGATTTTCATGCAGGCTGAACATGAAAATAGTCTCCTACACCTATCTCCTGCATTAGCTTCTGATAGAAAATAGACGGTGAAACTCTAGGATTTGAAAACCCTGACAGATCTACATCACACTGTCACTTAACATTCATGGACTCGCCCATCTTGACTCACAATGGGGAAGGCTGTTGTTGGTTTAGCGTCCAGGAACCAGCAGAGAAAGTCTTAACTAGTAGAAGCTAACTGTTAGCATTAGCAACTCCACCACATAGCAGAACTCCTCCAGACTTGTGTTATTTGTGGAGATAAAACATCAACATTGCAGAGCAGAGTCAGTGGTAGAGTCACGTTGCTGTTAGCCAGTCAAATGCGAGCTGTCTAAATATCAGGAAACACGACTCCAAATCATCTGAAGGTAATTTCTCCTCCAGCTGACTTCTACCTCATTAATCAGGCGTACCAGTAGCCTAGTGAACTCGACCAAATTCTTGCTTTGCAAAGTTTGGTCCAGGCATGCTCCATTGGAACCTCAGCAGCTCCTACCAGGACTCTGGCTAGCCAATCACAGCTCTCTAGAGGAGTTTCAAACACATAAAGAGCTGTGATTGGTCCATATTGGTGGGCCAATCATAGTGCTCTATCTGCTTAATGAACAAATCACAGAGCTTTATCCACCTTGAGGGCCAATCAGGGCACTCTATATGCCTGGTGGGTGGGATGATGCAACAGAGTGAAACAAGAGTATGTCACATTCATTGTCCAGTGGAATGCGGAGATCATTTGAAAGACAACGGTAGAACCCGCCCCACAACCGAGAGCCGTCAATGGAGCATTGCCAGACTAAATAATAGGCTAGCGTACCAGATCTTTTGTGCCCCGAAGTACAAATAAAGTAGACCTTTATGAATACAAACAACAGTTTTCCTCTGCAGTGCACAATCTCGAAACCTAATAATAAATTACAAATTATTAAAAATGACTGCTTTAAGATATTCCATATATACATCATATTTTCATGTTCATGTCTCTGCAAATCATCCTGTGACAGACACACACAAACACACACACACACACACACACACACACACACACACACACACACACACACACACACACACACACACACTTGAAGCATCTGAACCTTCTGCCTGCTTCAATTAGCACGTGGCACCTCCCCATCCCTCTTCTCCTCATTCTCTCATCTGAATGACTTCACTATCAGGAGCTCATATCACCTCCTCATCTGTGGCTTAGCAGTGGAAGTTAATGACGAGGCTTAGAGAGCAGAAGGGGGGTGTGCTATCAGCGAGAAGAGAGACGATTTCTAAGGAAGTAAAGCCAGAGTTTTTAATTCAGCCTTTGGATACACATGAGCACCTCTCATTGAGAGATTAAGTGTATGAGGAAGCTATCAGGGGTCTTAAGTTAATTTCATGAGAAAGCCGGGGCGGCCTTTGTGGATTTTCAGCAAAAAGGGTGTGTTTCTTTGTGTGTGTGATCTATTATGTTTTGGAAATGTCTGCATAGGAAACTTAACTGTCAGTATTTGTTTAAAAAGGGAAAATAGTGATAAAGTGTCCGCGTGACTGGTTTTACTCAACAGCAGATCATGATTTTGTTTCAAAGTTTGGGATCAAACTGACAGTTTTGTGCAGAAGATGGATGTTTTATCCATTCATATACACTTGGTTGTGTATGATCCTTCTGGAGTTTTGGTTTCTTACCTGCAGGACGTAAGAGAAGCAGTCCTGATATTCCTCTCTTTTCAGTTTTCTCCCATTAATGAAGACCTCACCCAACAGAGTGCCGTGGCTTCCTATCCTCCCTGAGATGGCGTCCAGCAGGGTTGTCTTCCCTGAGCCTGATGCGAAATCAACACACACATACAGAAACACACACACACACACACACACACACACACACACACACACACACACACACACACACACACACACACACACACACACACACACACACACACACACACACACACACACACACACACACACACAGTACAGGAAGGAAGGGATTACAAATACAAAGTTCTGCAATAATATTTAAGATGGTTTCCTGCTAGATTAAATTTGTTTTAATCTGTTGAACACAAACCTGAATTTCCCAGTATGCCCATTATCTGCCCGCTATCTACGTGGAAGGAGACGTCGTTGAGGATCTGACGAGTCCATCTCTTCCTGCAGGAGGGTAAATCCCACCATGGTCCCACACGCTCACTAAAACACACACACACACACTGTTAAGACCAGCCTGCATGTGGGCATCATGTCTGCGTTTGCAGGCCAATGCACAGTTTACCTGACAGTATAGGAGATGTTCTTGACACTGAGACAACAGGACGACTCTGATCTGTCCTTTCCACCTTCCTTCCACACATCCCTCTTCTCCTCAGACACGAACTTGAAGGACTCCTTCACTTTGGTCCCGTTCTCTGGCTCCACGGCCTGCATGGAGTAAAACCTGTTCATGTCTGTAGCTGAGCTTCAGCTCCAAATAACATCTGTTTGCTGATTTTCTTTCAGTCCTAGACTGCAGCAGTGCGAGGTCAGCGGTGCCCGTCAGAACCATAAAAGCACACTGAATATTGTGTTATCTCAGAGAACTTTGATCTGAAGTTGTGTAAAGACAAAGAAAGAAAAAAAACTTTTACAGACTCTCATCAGCCTCACTGTCGGCTGCTTCCAGAAAAGCATTGACTGAATTAGCGACGCGGCATGAGCTTGGATGTGTTTAAGGAGAGGGCTTGTGAGGAGATCTTCAGCTGGACTGGAGTTTGCCACAGAACGGAAAAATAAAGGGAGCTTGTGTCATCATGGACAGAGAAACTGGCTTCAATTGCAAAAACAGCTTTTCACAGGTCAGTCGCGATGAAAGCTGACAATTATACCGTCCTACTGTTAGAGTTTGTGCTGCAGCTTAATGTTAAATCATATTGTTGCCTTTCCTGTTAGGCTTGCTTGTTTTCATTCATCAGATTTTTAAAAATACACCTCCTTTGTACACATTCACAACAAGAATACTTTCTAAAACTGTTGCCATGACAACACTCAGGTAAAATGAGTGTATTTTCCACTCTTGGACAGTTTTGCATTCCTTTAATAGGGAAAGATTTAGGGATCATCTAACTGGGACATTGAGGTGATTTTGATGAACTCTGGACCTTTAAAGGCTCTTGAGCAACCATGTGCACAACAATGTGTGCATGCAAACACACTATTGTGCACCAACAATAAAAAAAATAAGATTTTTGACGTATTTTATGTGTTTAAAAAAGCTCTTTAAGTTTCACACACAAAATAAGAAAAGAAAAGCTTTGGAAACTTTTCGCGTGTTATTCCTTTTGAACAGAAATTACTATAATGTATACTTATACTAATGTAATGATATTTCATTAAAATCTTGTCAAGATTTTATTAGTTTAGTTTTCAGTTAAGTTGAGGTCGTCATTAAGATAAGTCAGAGAAATATTCTCATATCTTTATCGTAGCACTGACGGCATAATTGTTGCAATGGAACCTATTCTTGTGAGCAAGGCTGAACAAAGCCTTAAAAAGTGTTGTAACTACTTTTTTCAGGCTGTTGCCGTTTTAGTTTTAAGTTTCTTTTAAAAATCAAACACAAAAGTGGGTAAAAACGAAATCTTTTAGTCTGTGCTAAAGTCCCAGAGTTGCTTCGTCCTCCAGCAGCACCAGGACACAGAGTTGTTCTCATCAGAAGAGGACAGCAGTCTCTACTTCACGTACAGCGGAGGGTGCAACCAGCTGGAAGTCAACAGCCTGCACTACGAGGTGACGTCGAGCTGCCGTCGTGATGGACGTAAACGATCACATGTGCTTAATGTGTGGACTGTTCCCAGGTGGACACGGCTGCTCAGATCCCCTGGTACGAGAGGTTGTCTGAGTTTAAACTGCCTTGGGAGATAAGGGGAAACAAGCAGGTCGCCATTAACGACCTGAGTCTGCGGGTCCGCAGCGGGCAGATGCTGGCGGTCATCGGCAGCTCAGGTGATCAACACTTCAGCAGCTGTTTGAGGGAGAAAATAAAGTTCGCTCTTTGGACTTAAACTGTCTTTAATGTGGACTTCTCAGGCTGTGGGAAGACATCTCTGCTGGATATCATCACCTGTCGAGATGAGGGCGGCTCGATGACCTCTGGTCAGGTTCTAATTAACGGGAAGCCCAACACGCCACAGCTGGTGAAGAAGTGCATCGCTCATGTGCGCCAAGACGACCGCCTTCTCCCTCACCTCTCTGTCCGTGAGACTCTCAGCTTTGTTGCACAACTCAGACTCCCCACAGGCTTCAGCCAGGCTCAGAGGGACCAGAGGGTCAGATGGTCATGAAGACATCATGCATGCAGATCATAGTTTCCATGCTTGTGTCAACTCATAGATAAATGACGTGTGTACAGGTGGATGACGTCATTGCAGAGCTGCGTCTGCGTCAGTGTGCAAACACCCGGGTGGGAAACGACTACGTGAGGGGCGTTTCTGGTGGGGAGAGAAGAAGAGTCAGCATAGCTGTCCAACTTCTCTGGAACCCCGGTGAGAAACGGCGTCAGACGTCCTCTGAATTTCCACAAAAACAGAAAAAATGTTTTGATTGTTTGTTTTACACACACATTTTAAGGTGTCATGTTGCACACAGAACCATTTCAACATTTTGGTTTCTCTGTGTTTTAAGATTTTCTCAAATAGGCTTGAATAAAGGAAAACAGAAAGTATCAAACAATCCAGCTTTCTAGGGATTTTAATCAGCAATGGACCTTTGGACCCTCAGGTAACTGAAAAAGGAAATGTGAGGGCCACAGACTGCAGAAAGTTGAGTTTAAAGAGCTTATTATTGAACCTTCTTAGAGTAAAACGAATAAAAACAATAAGTGAGACACTTTTTATTCATTTTTTGTGTATTAAAGGAATTATTTGATGTTCAGAATGATTTTCTACGTCATCTGTCATTAAACTCTTTAAGACAACTTAAAAGCAAAAAAGTTTTTGTTTTGTTAGTGAGTCATGTATGTGATTGGTTTAATTAACTAAAATAATATATAAATTCTGAACATTTAGTTTTCAAATGCCTCAAAACAAACAAAACAAACAAACAAAAAAAACCAGCAGCTTCATACGAGTGGTTTAAATGGTAAATGGCCTGTATTTGATATAGCGCTTTCTAGAGTCCTGGAACCCCCCAAGGCGGTTTACAACACAATCAGTCATTCACACATTCACACACTGGTGGGGATGAGCTACGATGTAGCCACAGCTGCCCTGGGACGCACTGACAGAGGCGAGGCTGCCGAGCACTGGCGCCACCGGTCCCTCCGACCACCACCAGCAGGCAACGTGGGTTAAGTGTCTTGCCCAAGGACACAACGACAGCGACAGACTGAGCGGGGCTCGAACCTTTAACCTTCCGATTACGAGGCGAGCACTTAACTCCTGCGCCACCGTCGCCCATAATTTTATTTAAAAATAATGTTCGTTTGAGAACATTTGAATGGTGTGTTTTATTGACTGTGATAAACTGTATCTAGTATTTTCCTTTTATCCTTCAGGCATTTTAATCCTGGATGAACCAACTTCAGGTCTGGACAGCTTCACCGCCCACAACCTGGTCATCACCCTGTCCCGCCTCGCCAAGGGAAACCGTCTGGTCCTGCTATCGGTCCACCAGCCTCGATCAGACATCTTCCAGCTCTTTGACCTGGTCGTGCTACTTTCCTCTGGATCAGCTGTTTACTGTGGTGCAGCTCGGGACATGGTGCCTTACTTCACCGCCTTGGGGTACCCCTGTCCACGATACTGCAACCCCTCTGATTTTTATGGTTAGCGTGATGATCAGAACGCAGATCTTTGTGTCAGTCACAGGCTTGTTTTAGGACGTTTAGAAAGAAGAAATGAAAGGTGCAATATGTAAGAATTTTACCATGACATTATCATAAAATAGCCTAATGCGTCAATCATGTTGAAAGGAGGGTTACATCTCAAAAGATTTCCTGGGGCTGGCCGGGTTTTCTCGCTATAAAAAAGTCAAAGAGGGACATAGTCTCCGTTTAAAATCAGTCCCAGCTCCATACTTCCTGGTTCCACATCCAATCACATGTGAGCTCGCAGGGCTGCCAATTCAGTGCCGGCATTTGTAATTCTACACCGGCCGGAAAGATCAGCAGCATTGTGAAAAATTAGAAGCCAGAAGCAAAATAAAGTAAAACAGTTCTATTTCACTCTAATATCAGGTAAAGAAGGCTAGAGGCTTACGTTGAGCTAATAATGCAAACAGTGAATTAGAATAAAAACTGAGAGCAGATTAATTTGTTTTTATAAATGAGCTGCAGTACCCACATTTGACCACATGATGTCACATTGCACCTTTAACTGGTGATGCTCTATGTTTCCATCAGGACATTTTGTCTCTGCAGCAGGCTGTCGATATAGAATGATGCTTTCTAATATATTTATATTCTGATTTTTACTAATTTGCATTTTTTTAACTTATTTTCAGTGGTAAATGAAATAAAATCACCATAAAACAGTTATTTAATTTTTAAAATATATGCAAATATCACATTTTATAGCAGAGGCAAGAACGATTCACTTGACGATTTTGGCCCTTGTCTACTAAAGTTTAGACACCTCTGCTGTAGGAGATTTAAATCTTCTAAAAGTTCTTGTCAGAGCGTTTATTATCACCAAAGGGATTTTTCAAAAGTTTCTTTCTTCTTTAACACTTTGTTGCTCTTTTACCAGTTGATCTGATCAGTGTGGACCGGCGCAGTCCAGAGCGAGAGTCCGACTGTTTGGAGAGAGTCAGACTTCTGTCGGAGCAGTTTAAGGAAAAGGTCCGAGACACCAACGACCACATGTGGAAACCGTCTGAGACCAACGCAGCTCAAACTGACAGGTTTGTCTCAGTGACCTCTTTTGAGTCATCTTGGAAACCTGACCAGATTCAGGATGACTGAATGTTCCTAACTCTCTCGTCTAGGGATGTGTATTGGTGAAATTCTGGCAATACGATATGTATCACGATACAGGGGAGACGATACAATATGTCACGATATACTGCGATACGTTCAGACAACCGATTTTAGCCATTTTTAGACTGAATTTGTTGTAGGAAAATTCCATAAACAATCCAAACGGCTACATAACATGTTTAACATGAGGTATCTGAACCATAATAGAGGGATTTACATTTAAATGGTGAAAACAAAACCCATTGCACACTGCTGCCAACTAGCAGTCGGCATTTGAATTACACTAAAATTAAAAAAGCTAATACACAAATATTTGCATGTAAATTCTTCCAAATATTTGGTGCACGGCTTTTGAATATTGATATAATATTGCAGGAAATAATATCATGATATATTATCATACTGATATTTTCGAAACACGGCTTGTGAATATCGATAAATCGCTGGCAAAAATATCACAATGTATTGCGATTTCGATATTTTCTTACACCCCTACTCTGGTCTTTATGTCCCACAGTCCACAGCAGCCAAGCAGGGCCGGAGAAGAAATCATCACCATTTCCAAGGAAAGTAACACGCTGCCGGGGAAACTGCACCAGTTTACGATCCTGATCAGGTGAGCACACGCACACACGGATGCATCTCAGCTCTCTGACGGGACATCTGAACCATAGCTCATCTTCTCCATCAGGCGTCACATGTATAACGACTTCAGAGACCTGGTCACCTTACTGGTCCACGGCTTCGAGGCCCTCCTCATGTCACTCCTGATCGGTGGTTTGTACTTTGGAGCAGGAGAAGAGCGTCTGAACATTCAGGACACAGTGGCCCTCCTCTTCATGATCGGAGCTCTCACTCCATTTGCTGTGGTGCTGGACGTCATAGCTAAATGTAAGCTTGGACTCAGAGCATTTCATTAATTCTTCAGATTTATAATTTTTGGTGTTATTTTACTTTGCAAAACAAAACAAAACCCAGAATTAGAACAAACGTATGCGACTGCATATTTACAAGTCTCTCTGCAGCTAGGGTTTCTTTTTGCTTGGTTATTGGATTCTTAAAGGTTCCATTATTTAATTTCTAAGGAAGATGTTAAATACTAACTTTCATTGTCCACAATATCAAATGACCACTGTGTTTATGAACTATAGGTGATTCAGCTTGTTTGTGGCACTTTGGATAATCAGTTCTAAAGTGATTCTCTGTAAAATAAAATTAACCGTTTCGGCTAATTAAATGGCACATATCTGTAAATAATTAGTTTACAAATCATCAAATATCTCCTTGATGGATATTTTCCTCAAAATAAAATAATTTCTACTGATCTCTTACACCTTATTTATCCTGCAAAACAAAAGTTAAACCACTTTATCTCCATGAAGCCATGTCATGAACTGTGACCTCACCTGACTGCTGCTCTGCAGGTCACACAGAGAGGGCCATGCTCTTCCATGAGCTGGAGGATGGCATGTATTCAGTCACCTCTTACTTCTTTGCAAAGGTAAACCCCCGTGACTTCAGCTGCATCTCCTGCAGGGGTCAGTCTTGCTCCACCGATGCTCCTCTGTCTGCTTTTAGGTCCTGGGAGAGCTCCCAGAACACTGCGCCTTCACCTTGGTTTATGGTCTCCCCATCTACTGGTTAGCGGGACTCAACGAGGCCCCGGACCGCTTCCTGCTGAATTTCCTGCTGGTGTGGCTGATGGTGTACTGCAGCAGATCCATGGCTCTGTTTGTCGCTGCTGCTCTTCCCACCCTGCAGATCTCCTCCTTCACAGGCAACTCCCTGTTCACGGTCTTCTATCTGACCGGAGGATTTGTCATCAGCCTGGAGAACATGTGGTTGGGTGAGGAGGGAGTGATTACACAATAAGTGTGTTTTAAACATTAGAAGAAATATTTTAAAAATCATGTTTTCATCTTTTAGTGGCTTCTTGGCTCTCCTACGCTTCATTCATGCGTTGGGGTTTTGAGGGCATGCTGCAGGTGCAGTTCAGAGGCAACAAGTACCCCGTCACAATAGCAAACCTCACATTCAACGTCGATGGCATACATGTGAGTAAAAATGCTTTTAGTATCTTTGCTTTTATAGTTTTAGAATAAACCAAAGCATCTAAAACACCCGTAGCTGTGCGTTCAGCTTAGATCGGCCTGTCCTGTCATGGATAAGCTCAAATGTTGGCATTGCAGGTGGTGGAGGCCATGAAGATGAACCAGTACCCTCTGTTCTCCTGCTATCTGATCCTGCTGGCCATCTGCCTGGGCTTCATGTTGCTCTACTTCCTGTGCCTCAAGTTCATCAAACAGAAGTCCAGTCAAGACTGGTGAAAGCCGTGCTAGAGCTCTAGTAATTCCACCAAAAACAAAGATCAAATGTTTTTTTATGTAAATGTGTAAGACAAAGGTTCTCATTCGACTGGTTCGACTTGAGCTTCCACACGATGAATTAGTTTCATTTCCATGTTTTAGTGTGATGCATTTTACTTTCAGAACTACATCACAACCATTAGCTCTACTTTGAAGCTTATTTTAATTGATGATTTGGGGGAAATATGGAAGTTGTTCCTTGCTGCTGGGAGAAGAAACCCTCGTTCCCACTGTCTGCTGCTGGATGGCAGCAGTGCTCTGCATTAAGACCTCCTTCCTCCTGCTGTCATGAAAAGTGATTAGAGCTCTACTTTTAGCAGATACTCATCAGCAGCTTCTGCTTGTTCCGGTTGTTTTCAGCAGCTTTGTCTTTTTTTCCCCTAAATGAAAGATTACTAAGGTTTTTGTAACTGTGTGTCGGATCTAGAGCTCTTCAAAACAAAACTACGTATAGATTTAGTGAGTCTCAGTTAAAATAGAGAAAACAAACTAATTTCCTCATTGACTGGAGGTTATGTAAGGTGTGTTTTTGGCACTGGTGCAAACATAGTTGGAGTCCAAATGACTGAAGAAATAAAAAATTGCTCAACATGAACATTTTTGTCCCTTTGCTCCACTTTTTGTTGGATAATTCAGTTAGATTGTGTTGTTGCTGTGCAGACACATCACACTAGCCGCTATCTCCACTTATGAGACATTTAAACCAAATCTGATAATCTCGATGAATAAATGCTACAGAACTGGTGTTTTAATTTGCACCCCTAATGAGCTACGCCACGAACTCTGACGTCAAACGGCCCACAATCCTCTTTGGAAGCAACCAGTTGTGTTATCCAAGTCCTGCCCCTTTTTCCCGGGCCAACAACTCGCATTACATAAAAGCAGAAACATTTGAGAGCAATAAGTTTAATACTGATTAGACAAGAGGGCCACAGAGACAGCTTAGTTCATAGTTTAAATGGATACCAGTAAGCATTTCCCTCTGACTGAAAGATAAACACGTTAATCATCTGCAAACAGAAGGAATGAAATTTAAAAAAGGTCAAACTGAATACCTGATACATTTCTTTGACGTTTCTAATGACTTACATTCAGGTTTTATTAAATTTAGCTGAATAGTAACTTTTTTCCTTCAGGACCCCTTGCCTGTGTCCAAGATGAGCCAGGACCCCCAACTCCTACACTCATTAAATGTGACTATTTACTCGTTTTGGTTATACTGTAGGGTGTGTTGTTGGGATTTTATAAATGCAACGCATGCTGGGATGCTGGTGGCTATGCTACTTAAAAAAAAAACTTTTGACAATTTTTAAACAATTTTTTGAAATAAATTTACATTAATTGCTGCTTTGTCTAAAACATTCAAAGCATCGATTAATTGCCCTAAAATGAACTACTTTCATTAGAAAAAATACATATTTTCAGAAAAAGCACTTGACCCTTTTCTCCCGCAGCAATGGATTGTGGGTAATACCCTTCACCAAAGCCTGCACTGATGCGGTCTTGGGTGAAGTGCGGATCAAGAGTGCAAAAGGCGATTGATTAACTTCCGTACTTGAGAATCGCGTCACCCTACGCACTCCTGGCCGCGATCGCGCAATTGAAGGGCGCAAGAGTGGAAATGTGAGTATTGGGATTGGGTCCAAGTCTCTGGGTAATGCATTAGCTGCCATGTTTCCTTCTACGGGAGCTTCTTTGTTTACATTTGATTTAGTTCCCTCTAAAATTAGGCTCGAAAGTTAAAAGAAAGAAAAAACTTAGAAAAATTTATTGAGTTGTTTTGCTTACGCATTTGTGTGCAAAACAAAATATATGAATCACTGGAAGAAAATACACATTTATGGTTCATCTGCATCTATTTTTAAAACACTGTAATAATAAAGCACCTGTTGGATTTCTGGCAATATTTATTATAATAATTGTTTTTCTGATAGTTTCAACCAACAAAGTTGAATTAAAATATCACCCCGTGAAAAAGACGAGCCCGTTTGCTTTACCCATCATTATTTATTAGCATGAATACTTCTGTACATTTGAGAGCGGACAGAGTCTAAACACAGTAAAGTTACTACTCAACACTTGCCATTTCAGCTTCAACAACTTGTATAAAAAAGAGGAAACAACAGAATAAGCTGGTGGGAAAAGCCTGGAAGGTACGAGGAGGAGGAGGAGGAGGAGGTGATGATGAGTTTTTACTCCTCTGCTGCCGTCGGGCCTTTAGCAGATTTCTCTTTCAGCTTGGCGGCATAAAACTTAAAAGACTCCTGGAAAGAAAAGACAAAAAGTGAGACAACTCAGCTGAGTTTGTCGGTAACGTGTGTTTTTAATCACTCGTCCTTAATAAAATAAAAAAGCAGCATGGACTCTCCTGTTGGGTTTATCTAAATAATCTCCGAGCGGGTTGTCTTGTTTCATCTCTAAATCCCCGTTAATACATAAATAAGGGATTTGTAGCACGTTCCCTGAACACACACTTCCGCTCGTTGCCTCTGTTCCTGGATAATTAATCAGTGTTTTCATCCAGACCGAGTGTTGTACCGGCTCTTTTCTTTTTTTATTGATGGGGAGGAGAAGGCGCGAGCTTCGCTGCAGATTACAGCAGCTCTTTATGATGTGTGTATTAATGCGGTAATTAATGCTGATGAATGTTTGCGGTCGGTGTAAAAGGCGAGAACGATCCTGGCACGGGTTTAAAGGGTAGGTTCAAACTAATTACAATAACTTATTATTTCCATTTGACCACAAAGCTCAAAGCAATCAGAACCAAGGTTTTTCTTCTCAACAGAAAGCTTCATGTTACAGAGCTTCTATCTATTTGTAGAAACTTCCGAGCAGCATGAAAATTCACCTTTCCCTCTCCTTGCAACACTTTCTCTCTCCTCCTCCTCCTCTCTAACCCAAACGTCACTTAGCTACCCTGACACTTTGTGAATAATGCAGCAACTTCTCCACCTTCATCCCTCGTTCTCCTTCTATCTTCGTCCTGCAGGTGAGTGATGGGAAGGTAGGAGTTAGGCTGTGGGCTATACCTGCCTCGAGGGGACGGCGTCAGAGAGATGCCTCTTAAAGGCCTCGGTGTGTGTGTGTGTGTGTGTGTGTTCTGCGTAAAAAAAAGGGCTACATCAGCTTACAAAAAGCTCAAAAACACCACGAGGCAGAAAAGAAGAGGCTACAGCAGTGACACCATCTCACTGACTCAACACACCGCATGAACTGGAAGGGGGGGGGGGTCATTTCTGACACGTGCACACACGCGCTGCAGCTATTTCACAGTGCTACACAAGGGTGGGCATTAGGACACGGACCTGACACGTGCCAGCCCTGGTAAGGTGAGCCAGGTGTGTGATTATGTTTAGTTTGCTGGAGCAGATTTTAGGCGATTCCATCACGCGCGGGCTACTAAATCACAGGTGGTCGTGAAGCCATCATCGCTGACTTCCACTTTTCCATCTTCTTAAAAATAATCTCCTTTGTTTAGGCTTTAATTTTTATTCTAATGTTTTTGTTTTGATATTTAATAATCAGATTTTTATGTGTTCAACACGCACCAGGTCAAACTGTGATCTCAATCCAGTGTCTGAATATTTAAATGTTTATGTATTTAACAGCTGCATTTGTCCAGAGTGATTTACACAGGGTACAGCCAAAAGGTGGGTGGTGTCTTGCTCAAGGACACAACGACAGAACTAGGGCTGCACGATATTAGGAAAACCTGCGATAACAGTGATTAATATTGCAATGACGATATTACTTGTGATAAATAAAAACGTAACTCAGGAACAAAAATAATCAAAAACAAAGAAATTAAAATATGACCCAAAAAAAAAAATCATCAAAATGAGAAAAGCAAAAGATGTGAGGAAAGGGAAAAGGAAAAGGAAGGAAAAGCAATCAGTGGATCCCGAGAAAAGCAGAACAAAGCTAACTCAGGTGTTTGCTAACCATCAAAATTAAGTGAGAACCCAACCCACCCAACTGGCCAAATGGGTGGAGAGCTCTATTTGATTTGTTAAAAATAATGCATTATGTGTAGCAAACATTTCAGCCGACCATTCATTGCGATGTTTATCTGTTCTTTGCAATGTGCATATGCGCATGCTGATATCGCTATAACGATATATTGTGCATCCCTAGTCAGAATGAAAGGAATGAGCTGGGATTGAATCGGAAACCCTCTGATTACTGGACAACTCGCTCTGCCTCCTGCTCTCTTTTAAAGTAAAAATATGAACACACTTTTATAAATGTTAAAAATATTTATAAATATCAAATAACCTTTTAAGTATTAGCAGACTTTTTAATTTAAATATTAAAAACTTTAAATTTTGAATCATTTTTACGTTAAAAACTGTTTATAGCTTTTTCTTAAGATATTTTTTGTCATTTTAAGCATTTTACAAAAAACTAAAAATAAATAAAAAAAACTCTTGCAACTTTTTTTCTTTGCTTTTTAAAAAATAAATGTAAGAATGAAGTTTGGGGTAGAAACTGTATGTATGACTTCATGAAGGGTTTAATCGTTCTTGCTAGATTTAGAACTAAACAATGTATCCAGTAATTACACTTTCATTTGTAAAAATGGTAAATAATTATGAAAAAGGTAAAAAAAAATTGCGCTTTAAAATAAAAACACTTCAAAAGCAATGCCATCAAATCCTGCAGTGAGGAGGCTCAATTTCTTAGTGTTTAAAAAAGTCTCAAAAACTAAAAAAGAAAAAGAAAAATAATAATATTTATGAATTCTAATTCTATAAAGCATATTCATAGATTGTTGTCTGTCATTATTCCTCTGGCTTACCAACAAAGTAATTTTAATCTTTCAGCATTTTAGGTTCATCTGAACCCATCAAGCCGTAAAACATAAAAAGCTTCTTTGTATCTGATCACTCCCTGAAAAATACCTAAAAGTTGATAATTTTGGTTCATTTTTCAGCTTCCTGCGTCATGCCGTTGAATCTGCATGTGTTAAATTGATCTTGTGGACGACTCTGATCCCACGTTGACCTTGACTTACTCATCGGTGCAAAAACATAAAGAGTTGCAAATTAGGAGAGCAAATAAGTTGTTTTAATAAGTGCTGAGGGAGCGTTTGTGTTCGCACATTCACTGTTTAGTAGAATCTAGAAAAGGTTAAGCGTTCATGACAAATGTCAAATCAGGCTCAGATGCCCGAGAGGATTACGCATGAACCCAGTAGCAGGAGATCGTGCAGCTTTCGGCCGAGCAAAGAGCCAACAGGACAAGTTTTCTGCCCAACTTTTTATCCCTAAACTCTAAAACTCTACATTTGTTCTTCACTTTAAAGCAGTGCCACAGAAGAGAAGATGATTAGATTCACTGCAGATCCTTTAATGTGTTTCTTTTAGTGAAACTGGAACAAACATCAAAAGAAATCAGTGGCCAGAACAACTAAAGAGATCCATCTTGTATCCTTCAGTATTCTGCATCATTCCCGTCTGGATCACCTGTTTAGTGTGTGTTAGCTACTCACAGGGGGCTCAGAGAAGGGCACGGTTTCTCCAGCCTCACGGTAAAGCACAGCCAGCCGTTTGAGTGACAGCTCGTTCACCACAATCCCTTTGTCCTGCATTTCTGCGTACAGAGCCTTGGCCGACGCCAAGTCCTTATCCACACCTGCCAGAAGGCACGGGGGGACAAAAAGTTACATCAAGAGACACAAAACAAGACGCTTGTTGGTAGAACTTTTATGTATAGTATTTTTGAGAAGGTGAACATGTAGAATTTGTTTTACCTTCAGAGCTAAATACCTGTCTAACTCTAAAGGAGAATATATATATATATATATATATATATATATATATATATATATATATATATATATATATAGCTTTCAGGAAGTTTCTTCCTCTTTAGGAAGTTGGTCTGGACAGATGGAGGAATGTTGGGAGTACAGAGACAGAGAACAAGGAGGGGAACAGATGTGTGAAGTAAAAAGCTGAGTGGAGGAACGTGTAACGATTAGCACGCTAGGCTAGCCAGGAGAGCCAACTGATTAGAGGACATGTGTTCTTCTAACCCCTGAAACGCCTCCGCCTGCACACTCCTGGACCCGATGCATTGTTAATGAACCTGTTTATGCTAACCAGTGAGCTACCGGCTGCGTTTACGCGCGTGAGAGTGTGTGTGTGTGTGTGTGTGTGTGTGTTTGTTTGGCTTACAGTGACACTTCATCAGGTACGAGTACAGAATTTCCTTCTCGGCAATGTCTGGAACCAAGCTCATCAGGATCTTGATCTTTTCAATCTGAGAGCAAAGATTCATTTTTACCTGAGAGTGAATGACGTCACATGACAGAAAAGTATTCCTACAAAGACACGACCCTGGAACTGGTCGGGAGAAAGTCACAAAGGTACACAAATTAACTCCAAGACTAGTTTTTATTTATGAATTACCAGTTTAACAGTTTTGCATTTTTCTTTTCCTTTAATTCCTCCCCTCTGAACAGTTTTATTTTTCCTTTCAGGAGGTGAGATTTTAATACGTAGGAATTCAGATTTTCTAACTACGAAGCAATCATTTAAAAAAAATAACAACAAAGAATTCCAGAAGATGGATCAGAGGTTTGACTAATGCTGTAAAAAGGAAGCATTTTGGGGTTTAAACCCAAAATTTAGTTTTAAGGATGGTTTAACGATGTGGGTCACTCATTTAGTCATTACACTTGCAGTGGTCTCTTCACCATGTCAGTGGCCTTGTGGCCGAGCTCAGATACGCCTGAATCATGAAGTTCGAGTCAGCTGGAGGAGAAAGTAAATTCAGACGACTTGGATTTGGAGTCTCATTTCCTGATAATTGGACATCTCGCCTATGATTGGCTAACAGCAACACGACTCTTACTACTTACTCAGTTCGCTTTGCAACGTGGATGTTTTATCTCCACAGATAACACAAGTCTGGAGGAGTTCTGCCGTGTGGTGGAGTTGCTAATGCTAACAGTTAGCTTCTACTAGCTGAGACGTTCTCTGCGGTTTCCTGGACGCTAAACCAACCTTAGCGAGTCAAGCTGAGTGAGTCCATGAATGTTAAGTGACAGTGTGACGTAGATAAGTCAGGATTTTCTAATCCTAGAGTTTCATCGTCTGTTTTCTATCGGAAGCTAATACAGGAGATAGGCGTAGGAGACTATTTTCATGTTCAGTTTGCATGAAAAACACAAGTGATCGATCATAATCAGAAGAAATAATTTTAAAATGTTTTTTTTTTTCAGTTTTCCACAACCCTAGTTTTGAAATAATGAATTTTTTCACTGATTCTATTTTTGTTTACATTTTATTTGTGAAAGCTGCTCTATGAAAAACTTGTAACTACTAAACACATCTTTGTCTTAATTTTTTATTAATTTCCATTAATCAATAATCAGATCCACCTTGTAGTCTTTGGTACCAGTGTTCCATCTACAGCCAACAGCTGTTCTTTTTGACGTGTTTGTTATTTATGTTTATGTATTTAGCAGACGCTTTTGTCCAAAGCGACTTACAATCACTTTGTGATTTAGTTAAACACCAGCCAAGCGGATGGACTCGTGAAACTATCCACCTAGTCTTTTCCTTTAGAGGAAGTGCCGTCAGCTGAAAGGGGGTTTGATTTGGGATGACGGACATTCAACATAAATCATGATCAATAAGTTATTTCTGCACAAACTGTGAAAATAAGTTATTTAAAAAAATTCTGATCCTGAGACCTTACCTGTCCTGGATGCTGAGCCCTCTGAGACATGTAGGACGTCAACGCGTCCCTCTGCTCAGCCACGGCGTTACAGCGCTGCAGTGAGACAGGAAACAGAGATAAGTAGGAGCAGACTCCTCTCCAACCTGCGCCTACGCGTTTGCAGACCCTCGTACATCCAAGGTCACACTCAGGTTAAAGGATAATTATGGATCTAATAACAACTCGTTTCTTTGTGATCCTAAATGTACAGCACTTTTCTCATCAGAAAGCATAATTATCACCACTTAGTCACATTAAAGGCCATTTCAGCTACTCACTGGAAATGTGGGGTGGGCTAAGACTGAGCTGTCCATCATGTGACTCCTGTTCAGCTTTAGAGCTTAAATTAGCAGATTACAGGATGTAAAACATGATGGATGATTAAATGTTTCACACACTCCTCATGGTGTTAGTTAACCACTACAGGGTATCTGCAGGTTTAAGGGAGCCAAATTTAAGAGTTTTTAAGACCTTTTTAAGGCCATTTTGACCAAATTCAAGCAATTTTTTCAAATTAAATTTAAGCTATAATTTCCAGCTATTGCCTGGAACCGGTGCTAACCACGTCGCCAACGTGGGATTAGCCATCCATTTACCATTAAACTTGCACTTCCCCATGGCGCAAACTCCCACTAGCTTAACCAGCTAATGTGCTCATCTAAAAATAGCCCCCTTTCACAACCAACTGAATGTGTACGGTTCCGTTTTTGCCAATAGCATACACAAAAAATGCTGAAGACTTACTAGAAATTCATGAAAATTTTATAGAAATAAAAGAATCTTGTTTATTGGGTCTTTGGACATTTAAGACCTTTGGAAACTGTATTTAAGGATTATTTGTCATTTTTAAGGATTTTTAAGGCCTTAAATTTGGAAAAGCTAATTTAAGACTTTTTAAGGACCCGCAGACACCCTGCACTAGGGTAGAAAGAACACCAGGAAGATGTGTTAACTCGGCTGTTACTCATCTAGCAGAAACTACGCTCACCGGCCACTTTAATTGGTACACCTGTCCAACTGCTCGTTAACACAAATGACTAATCAGCCAATCACATGGTGGTAACTCAATGCATTTAGGCATTCTGACATGGTCAAGGCGATCCGCTGCAGTTCAAACCGAGCTCCAGAATGAGGAAGAAAGGTGATTTAAGTGACTTTGAACATGGCATGGTTCTTGTTGCCAGACAGGCTGGTCTGGGTACTTCAGAAACTGCTGATCTCCTGGGATTGTCACACACAACCATCTCTAGGGTTTACAGAGAGTGGTCCGTGAAAAAGGGGAAACATCCAGTGAGCGGCAGTTCTGTGGGTGACCATGCCTTGTTGATGCTGGAGGTCAGAGGAGAATGGTCAGACTGGTTCGAGCTGATAGAAAGTCAACCGTAACTGAAATAACCACTCGTTACAACCAAGGTAGGAAGAAGAGCATCTCTGAACGCACAACACGTCGAACCTTGATGCAGATGGGCTATAGCAGCAGAAGACCACACCAGGTGACACTCTTGTCAGCTAAGAACGGGAAACTGATTCACACAGGCTCACCAAAATTGGACAACAGAAGATTGGAAAAATGTTGCCTGGTCTGATGAGTCTCAATTTCTGCTGCAACATCCTGATGGTAGGGTCAGAATTTGGCGTCAACAACATGAAAGCATGGATCCATCCTGCCTTGTATCAACAGTTCAGGCTGCTGCTGGTGGTGTAATTGTAAGGGGGACATTTTCTTGGCACACTTTGGGCCCCTTAGTACTAATTGATCATTGCTGCAATGCCACATACCTGAGTATTGTTGCTGACCATGTCCATACCTTTATGACCACAGTGTACCCATGATGGCTACTTCCAGCAGGATAATGCGCCATGTCATAAAGCTCCAATCATCTCAGACTGGTTTCTTGAACATGACAATGAGTTCACTGTACTCAGATGGCCTCCACAGTCACCAGATCTCAATCCAATAGAGCACATTTTGGGATGTGGTGGAAAGGGAGATTCACATCATGGATGTGCAGCTGACAAATCTGCAGCACCTGCTTGATGCTATCATGTCAATATGGACCAGAGTCTCTGAGGAATGCTTCCAGTACCTGGTTGAATCTATGCCACAAAGGATTAAGGCAGTTCTGAAGGCAAAAAGAGGTCCAACCCGGTACTAACAAGATGTTCCTAATAAACTGGCCAGCTTTACTGTTTTTGGAAGGGTGTTCTGGATGTTTCTATAATCAGCAGGTTAATGAGTTACAGTTGACAAATAAAAAGTATGTTTTAAACAGCCTCTCATTATGCTCTAATTATAATCTAAGCTCAGAATCAGCTGGTGTTCAGCTTAATCTGAAACTTAAATGATAGATTTTCTGTTCCGAGGTCATTGATGGGACAGATTCATGGAAGGTTTTACTTTCAAAAATCACAATTTTAAAGTTAATTGGAAGCTAAAAAGAATGTATTCTGGTATTACCGATAATAATTCTTGAGATGAACCTTAAACGGTAAAAACCGTTAACTGGTTTCAGCTCTGGAAATCAGAATTGGCACATTTTCAGGAAATCATCCTAATCACCTAAATGATATCAAGTAAACAAGTTTTTCTCCAAGTTTTAGAATAATGAAGACATTTTTATAGGCAATAAAAACTGCTACTCGTGTTTGATAACAAATGAATAGATTTTAGTTAAATAAATCAGACCTCTAACGGGTGAATAAACGTTACACTGTACATATAAATTAGGGCTGGGCGATACAGCCTAAAAAAATCTCCGATTTAATTTTTTTAATTTGATTTGCGATTTTTTTCTGATTCTCTCTCACCCTCAATTATTAAGAATAACAATAAGTACAAATGGAAGGCACCTTAAAGCCCATTTTGTTTTTCAGTAAATCACAAGCAAAACAAATGTAACCCTCATTTCTGAGATGAAAAATGAATAAATGAACACTCTTGGAATAAAAGTGCCACACTCCACGTCCGTCGCAACAAACCCAGACCAGTTCCAAACAACGGATGATTTCATTCCTTTCTTAGGAACAAACTTCCCACTCTCACCGGTGGCCATGGAGTGGCTTGCTGTTGCTGTTTCGTGTGCGTGCTGTGGCGTTACGCTACGGAAGCTCAGGGGGGCCAAAAAGGCACTATTACGTAAAAATACCTTTTTTAAACTGCCCGCACAAAAAATTCTAATTAATTCATTAAATCGTTTTATCGCCCAGGCCTAGTAAAAATCTGACTTTTATTATGTTATAATAAAAAGTAAAGAATCGGACCGTACTTGATTTCTGGACCGATTCTTGGTGAGAGCTTCTCTTGGTCGTCTGATTACAAGCCAGTCGTAAACTAATGCGTTTCATTCCTTCGCTTCATACAGAATTAAAAAGCAAGTGGCTTGTAAGGCTTTTAACAGAAACACACACACACACACACACACACACACACACACACACACACACACACCACACCACACACACACACACACACACACACACACACACACACAAAGTGGGGAAACAGTTTTAGTACAATCAGTCAATTAGACCAAGACCATGCTGCTACATTTGAAGTAACGCTCACTTTCTTTTCTGTATTTTTCCTCCAGAGCAGGCCTACCGTATCTCCCCACCCCCCCACACACACACATACACACCGCCTAAAAGCTCTGCTCGCCCTGGGAATCCTCGCCGACCCATTCCAGCACATACGAGCGTGTTAGCAGATGTAGACGAGTTTGTTAAGCGCCCTCCTCGCCACCGTTGCTTCTTCTTAATGACTGACTTCATCCCTCCTGCTCCCCACCGGCCTCACCTCCTTCTCTCCTGATAGCCCCGTCATCATTACAGTCTGCTTGCCTACTTAAAAGCTTTTCAGAGTTTTGGTCCTGCTTCACTTATGATGGGATGGAGGAGTGAGGCTGCAGCTACCCTCCAGTGACCCAGGGGAAGCCGCTCAGATGGGGCTTAAGGAAGGACAAAAACAAACCAGGTCCGGCTGTAAAACTCAAACTTTATAAAAGACAAACAGAACAGATATGGAGCTAAAATCTGATGTGGTTGCAGGTGAGTCGTCAGCTGACTGAGAAAGATTTTGTGATTGTTTTAACTGAAAATAGCTTTGAGATCTTAGTTGGAAGACTTGCAAGAAATGCGTCCTTCAAGGGATGCTTATTATTACTGATTAGGTGTCTTATTTTCCAGAGGAGTTATTGTTGGACATTTTTACCCCCAAAACTCTGCATCAGTTTAGCACGTCCATGTTAACTCTTCAACTCCCAAATTGCTTTCAACTCTGACGAATAAACAGCAAGAATGAGTCACGTTTTACTAAATCAATGCGTTTAAGTCAATGTTTCTAAAGCTTTGGTTTTAAAGAGACAGTAATGATGCACGGATGCCTCAGATTACATCAAAGATGAATAGTACATAAAAATGTTGAATAGTTTATGAACGTAATGAGTAAAAACCTTAGAAAATGATTCCTCATCTCCCACTGACCCGCTGAGTGCACCTTCTGCTGTAGCTTTAAAATCCTCCAACCTTTTTTGGTGTTTAAATAATAATAAAGATGGGAGTAGTGAGTAATGTATCCGTTCATTAACATGCATGTTAGTCAGACATCCCAGCATGTTGACTTCCTGTGCGATTAGTTATTGTGGAAATCGACCCAACTGGTTCACAGAAGGAGATATTTTTTGTATTTCTCTCAAAGTAATTTAGAAACTCATCAGCTGATTGTCGGTTTAAACAAAAATGCTGCACCAGATTCTAAATTGTTGCAGCATGGGCCTTTAGCTTTGACATCAGATATGTGGTTTCTGGTAAGACACCAGCTGATGATGAGGAAGTTGCTACGGAAACGGAATCACTAAGAGTCAGGAGGAAGTCAAGTCATCATCATCATCATCATCTGTGCAACCTCCTCTTCCTCCCTTTTAACTGCTACGTATTCATGTCCCAGGGATCAGTGAGAAGTCACCGAGCTGTAACGGATGAACTATGATGAATAAGTGAAGTCTCAGACAGCCAGGTTAATACCGCCGGGCTCAGCGGGTGAAATGTGGCTGAAGCTGGATGAATGTCAGCTTCATGTTGCTGTTTAAAAAGTTTTCACTTGTAGGACGGTCTGATAGATGACATGAGCTGCACAAAAACATCCATGATTACTAACAAAAGATGCACAAAACGTGAATGCAGGGATCTGCACACAAATGCATCCCCTCCTTAACCCTGTGCAGAAAGCCAGTTTCCTTCAATGATTGTTGATTTGTTTTTGATCATCATAACAACAAAATACAACAAATGTCCTGGCTGCATGGAGCATTTAACCTTTATGTGGACTGAAACTATTCTGAAAGTCATACACACTCAAAGTATCTGAAATTTGAAATCTCAACAGGAAATCAGTGATGTTTCACATGTAAAGCACCCCCCTTCCCTTCCCCCACCAGATACTCACAGCCAGCACGAGTCTGGCGTCCTCCACTTTGTCCATGTTCAGCAGCTGGAGGAAGAGATCCGTGGACGGTCTGTAGCAGGAGAAGTGGTTGGCTAGCCGCTCTGCCATAGCACTCACTGCAACAGTACAAACACACACGGGTCGGTTTCCATCTCACACCGCCGGACTCCAAAGCTGAAACCGTCCCATCTGCATGTGGATCATGGGCATTTCTTTTGAACACCTGCCGGTTTGTGTGTCTTACGCTTGTCCAGAGCTTTGTCGTTGCCAGATTCCAGGACTTTCCTGAAGACAAATGATATACTTGGGTTTGAGCTGTCTGGTCTCGTGTAGATGTCTTCCAACAACTCCACCGCTGCGTTCAAATCACCACTGAGGAGGAATGGGGTCGGAAAATTAGAGGAGCAACTACTGTTTGGTTTTACTTAAAAAAAAGGTTGTGTGCAAGTTGAACACTCATTTATTACGGACTACATAAAAAATGTCCAACGTGGCTGTGTTTGAGTTTGTTACTACAAGAAAAAGTTGCTCCGAATGTTGTTTTCAGACTTTGAAAATAATATTAGTTTCCTTTTCTGTCCGTTACAACCTCCCTTTGGGTGCAAACCTACTCATTCTTCCAGTAAGTTGTTTCTTTTATGCTGAGGTTGCCACAACTAAACAAAAACCCTACAAATCTGAAACAACTCAATCTGGCAACCTGAGCTCTCTGCTAACTCTTCACGCTCCCTACCCTCTCTCCACCGCCGCTAGTCGTAATGAATATTTAACAAACGGTGTGCGTGTGGCACCGCGAGCCTCTAGACGTGAGGGGATACATCCACGCTGATCGCTGCGACGGGGACCGTCTGAATAATTCAGCAAGAGGCCCCTCTAAATGTGGCGCTCCGCTTTTCCGGACCGGCTCTGCTTTTCCGCTGCAGCTCTTAAAAAGTCAGCTTGACTCAGATACAGTGGAGGGGGAAGCACGTGTCAGAGAGGCTCAGAGCACCGCTTCCAGAGGTCAGGGTTCAAGCTGACAGACCGGCACCGCGGTGGCCAATCAGGCGTGAGGCCGCCGTGCTATTTTTCACTTCCTGTTGTCCCTCCACGTTGGCACGGAGATGTGCTAATGCAGCAAGTGGCACGATAAAACTTTGATGTGCGGCTCGTTTTATTATTTTGCTCTCTTTTTGTTGGAGAGGCGCTGAAGCGTTATGGGAGGACGGGTGTTTTCACCACATTAAAAGTAGCCCTGAATAATCCTATCACGCCTCTGTTTCCTATTTGTTCCCGACACCCGCTCACTCTGTAAGCTTTTACTATAACAGCGTGTCATCACCGATCTCATCACACTGCTGGTAAGAGTGTTTACACAAGACAAGAGGAGAAACCACACTGGAGTGCACAGAAATTGGATTTCGCTCGTCTAACTTGCAGCTCGGCTCGTCTAGAGTCTATTTTTTTGGGTCGTGTGATGTTTTTGTTTAAACTGAACAAGTTAAGAGTTTAAAAAATAATACATTTTGCAGCCATTTTAGCCAGAAGCCTTACTTGTTGATATGTGCAAGGGCTGTGTTGTTGACAAACACCATGCTGGACAGGTTGGTGGCTGCTCCAAGACTCGTAATTAGTGATTCCACTTCCTGAATCGCTGCCACATCGCCGTGGTTAGCGAGGGCCTGAACCAGCCGGGTGATGGCGAGGGTCGAGGGCACAAAATCTAACTGAAGCATGGACTTCAGCCTCTCCATCGCCTCTGCAAAGAAGCACAGTGAGTGTGTGTATGTGTGTGTGTGTGACTGAGAGTGTGTGTCTAGCTCTTACCTTTGACCTGTCCTCTCACGCTGTACGAGATGATCAGCAAACTGTTGGCGATTTCACTCAATTTGAAGCCTGGCACATGAGACTCGGCCCTAAATGAGAACAAAGCTCTTCATCACCACTCTTAAAACTTCAGTTTGATTAAGTTAAATCTCATAGATGTAACACAACAACTCTTTATACTGGGAATCGCTCCACAGAAGACCTCTGCAACAACACCCTGCTGCACTGCAAAAACAAAACGCTCAGGTGATTAAATCGCCACAACATCTCATCATTTTATCCAAATGTTTAGCAGGAAAAACACAAAAACGCCACCATGAGATAATCTTTACAACTAATGGAAAACAAGAAAGACTTGTTGTGCCTTTGCACGAGTAGCGTGGCTGCAGGTTTTCATTTCTGGATCGTGTAATCCCCAAAGGGGTGAGCTGTTTTTCAAAGAAAATGAGCGGGAATTACCTATTTATGGTGTGACATTCCGATATTAGATCGAGAACAAATGAAAGATTTTATCCGCGTACGACTGACGCTAAAAGAAAAAACATTACTTCCAACTTTAAAGCCGACACTGGCGTGTACCATTAGGAGGAAGTCTTTATAATCTGTGTTGAATGAACTATCTATTCTGTGTCATTATGAAGCATCACATTTAGAAAGGCATTAGACTCCACAGAGGAGATAAACACATGAGCTGAAACATACAAGACAAAAGGCACAAATCTGATTGGCAGCAGGTCTGAGCCCTTTGTAAAGCGCCTGCTGTGACCTGAAAATAATACAGACATCAAGGACTTGATTGATGTCCGTGTATACGTGACATTCCTCCATGTTTCTGGTCCGTCTGCGAGAGGAAGGCTAGTTCTGAGGCCTCTGGGTGCTGCTCCTTCTCCCCTCCACCTGCATTTACTTACTGCTTTTTTTAACCACTAAAACCTCAATCAAACTTGCCTTCTGCTTTTTCTTTATTTATTATTATAGCCCTGCAACCAGATTAATCCTTCCGCTCAATTGAGCATCAGTCTGGCAATCCTTATCACCACGGCGACACCAGGCCAAGCAGCAGCATCCGGCAGCTGCTGTGACGGGGTCAAGCCAAAGATTGGAGTAGTAACAGGGTCGCTGACTGATTGCCGTGGAGACCGAGCAGCAGGGGGTGTGGGGTCAGAATTATTCTTATCAAGGGGGAGAAAATCTCCCCAGGCTGTCCTTTCACTCACCTTTCCCCAACACACACACACACACTGCTCTCACCTTCTCCTTCTAGGGATATTGCATTTAAGCCAATGCTTCTTCTCCTCTCTCATCAAACCTTAATCTCACCATAAGCACCCCATTGCTCAATTCTGTACAGATTACCTAAAAACACACACACGCACACACTCAGAATTAATGCCTATAGCGTCTTCATTATCCCCATACATGATTAAATCTAGCCCTCCTACTCCCATTCACTCCTCTTTTCCCATTTAGCCCCTTTTATCTCTGCCTTTTTCCTTCCCGTTTCCATCTTTGCACAACTCTCCTCTCAGCTCATTTCACTTCTCATTAAGCGTGCAGATAAACTACGCTTTTATCCAGGCGGGGGATGCCACAAACCAATTCAAACAGAGACTGGAGATGGGTTATCACTCGTATTTGCCTTGTGCTTGTTGAAACACGGGCCTAAAATTGATATGATTATTCTTGTAATAAAAGAGTGCAAACCATGTAGAGAGCTGGGGGGGGGGGGGGGGGGGGGGGGGGGGGGGGGGGGTTCCAGGGAAGAGACTGATAGTCTAATGGATGTTTTTACATGTTTTCCTTTCTGTACAATTTAGCAACAGCAGCTCTTCTCTCAGTGTGTGCCATTATGTTATTATCTCTTTGCTGCAATGTTTTCTTCTGAAGAAAGAGAAAAGGGACAAAAAGGAGATGAAGATTATCTAAAAAACAAGACAAACAGCAAAAAGATTGGCTCGGTGTTAAGCTGGGGTCTGTAATACCTCTGCACGTCTCCAGGCTCTGATGTGGCCTCGGTAGCACAACAACACATGATACATCACTAATTGGAGGAAGATTGATGTTTCAGCACAAAGTCACCAACTTCCCCAGAAAACCGGAATTAATCTTGAGTGTGTGTGTGTGTGTTGGGGCTTAGTATGAACCATTGTTCATATCCAGCAGGGTTGAGTATGTTAACATACAATCAGTTTATAATCCTCATGTCTGCAGAGGAGCTGCGGTTTTGTCCCCAGTTGCCACCAGCGGAGGATGATGGGGAGAAGTAGCGAAGAATTAACTACACCAGAATTTATTCATGCTCAAGCTAAAACACAGAGATGAACCATCTGTCCGGTCTGAGGGTGAATGTTTTATATATCAAATGCTTTAACTGGAAGCAATAAAAGCAGAAAAACTGGTGGGTTACATCAGATCAGAGAGAGCTTAGATACTAAAGACCAAACTGCAGAAACCACAGGAAATCAGAGATTCCCACTTAAACCATCCAGCAGGAGCTACAAGGAGAAGTGAGAGATAAATAAGATAATGAAATCCTAAATAAATAGAATAGCTCCAACCCGTAAGCACAGCTCGATCGTGGGGCGAAATCTATGGTTGTCTGTCAGACTGTCTCTGAACACATTCAGAGCAAAGAACAATGAGATCTATTGCTACAGAAATCGTCCAACGAGACAGTCTGTCATACACCGTTGTTTACGAAGAAGCAAAAACATCAATGACTTAAGTATCTGCACCCATCTCAAAGAAGTCAAAACGTCCAAGGTTGATGCCAAAACAGTTTCGAATCAGCGCCACTCCTGACCCTCCAACACAGCGCTGCCATCATCATTAAAAAAAAAGAAAGAAAGATCTGATGTGATGGTGCCGAGCTCGCCCAAAATCTCCCTACAAACACAGCGCTCTGTGATTATCCTGGCCTAAACTTAGCAGAGCCAATGGTGGACCCGCTGAGTCTACAATGGAACGTGCCAAGACCGACCTGCAGAGCAAAATTAACAGCTATGGGTTTGTCTAGATCTTTCCACTGGAATCTTATCTTATGCAATATAGAAAGATCGAGAATAATCGGTTAGCACTGCATGAGTAAGACATGAATAACTCACCTATGAACCAAATCTTAGCTCAAACCTAACAGCTGACGAGAGTTAAAGCGTTTTGTGTTTGCGAAAGTTGAACAGCTGTCGCAGAAATCTTGAATCAGGTTGACTTAAGAGTTTTGTTGCAAGTCATGCAGTGAAATATTTTGCTAACAAGCACTCACAGGCAAAAACAGTATCACCAGCCTTTCAGCCGTGGGTGATAAAATTTTCTTGTTTTTGTGTGATCATTAAATCCCATTCCTAACTCTTAAATATCCAATTTGTGAATGAGTGCTTGGAAGATGATCCTTAGACAGCAAATTTAGATTTTGGGAAGGAATGGTGCATCATGAACATGATCTGAGACTAGCTTTAGGATGATCCGTTGTAGCCTCCGGAAATGGTCTGTTTTTTCATCTACAGGTCACCTCTTCAGTATCGGGTCACATGGAGACATAAGTCTTAACTGGGGCTTTAATCTGCAAGAAAGATTCAGTGCTTGCCCAAGGTCCCTCCAACCTCCCTCTTATCTAAGACTGCTCGCTTCACAGGACAAGACGGATGAACTTTACCATACCAACCATACCATACCAACTTTATTTATAAAGCACATTTAAAAACGGCATGGCAGCCGACCTAAGTGCTGTACTGAATAAAAAGTAAAAACACAATATAAAACAATACACGGTCAACAATAAAATACACAACAAGGCAGATAATCACGGTCAATAAAAAGGCACATAGTAAAATAATAAAAGTCAGGAATTTAAAAATGCCTGATCGTAAAAGTGAGCCTTAAGTAGCGACTTGAACCGGAGGAGGGACGGTGCCAGCCTCACTGAAAGAGGAAGAGCATTCCAGAGTGTCGGAGCAGCATAGACAAAAGCACGCTGCCCCCGCGTTTTGTATTTCATTGTTGGAACGCGAAGCAGCAGGCAAACAGCAGATCTCAACGCCCGGTTTGGCACATAACAAGTCACAAGATCAGACAGGTAATCCGGAGCCAGACCGTTCAGGGCCTTAAAAACAAAAGTCAGGATTTTAAACTTGACTCTGAAGTTTACGGGTAGCCAGTGGAGCCGCGCCAGTACAGGTGTGATATGGTCTCTTCTAGGGGTGTTTGTTAAGTGTTGTTTTTTTTTTTGTTAGCCTGTTAAGAGTGGAAGCAGGTAAACCAATTAAAATGGAATTTGCATAATCCAGTCGGGAGATGATAAAAGCATGAATTACAGATTCCAGGTGTGCTCGTTTCAGGATCGGTTTTAAGCAAACTAGTCTGCGCAGCTGATAAAAACACAATCTGACCACTGCGTTAATCTGAGGGCCCATGGAAAAGTGTGTATCCAGTTTCACCCCCAGGTTGGTAACACACTGCTTGAGGTCATATGGGAGAGTGTCCAAATCGGAAGATAAGTGTGTGGTTTTGTTAGGGGACATCAGGAGTGCCTAAGACTTAGAATCATTCAACTTAAGGAAATTGTTGGCAAGCCAAACCCTCACTTCAGCCAAACATTGGTCCAGAAGAGAGTTGGAGTTTGGTTTTTTCAAAGCCAGGTAGATCTGGCAATCATCTGCATAAATATGATAGCCCAGGCCATATTTCCTCAGGATGAAACCCAGGGGGAGGATGTAAATTGAAAACAGGAGAGGCCCAAGCACAGATCCCTGCGGGACTCCCCATGGAAGTGGAAGGAATGTAGAGGAACAATTACCCAACTGAACCTTGAAAACTCTGTTTGACAGGTATGAGCAGAACCACTGAAGTGAGGTACCCCTAAGCCCTACCCATGACTCAAGTCTATCCAGCAAAATATCGTGGTCAAAGGTATCAAATGCTGCAGAGAGATCTAATAGTAGGAGCAAAACAGGCGACCCAGAGTCAGAAGCCACCAGGATGTCATTAGTCACGCGAAGAAGGGCTGATTCAGTACTGTGAAGTGGCCTAAACCTAGACTGGAACACATCAACCAGAGAAAAGCTATTCATGTGTGCTGTAATCTGTGAATAGACAATCTTTTCAAGGACCTTAGACAAAAACGGTAATTTGGAGATTGGCCGAAAGTTTGCAAGGTTTGAGTTGTCTAAACCAGGTTTTTTTTAACCGCCTTTTTAAAAGAAGTAAGAAACACGCCAGTAGCCAAGCTAGAGTTAAAAAAGTCTAAGATGGCGGGGCCCAAAATAGGGATGACAGGGCATCTGCAGGTTTAAGGGAGCCAAATTTAAGAATTTTTAAGACCATTTTTAAGGCCACTTTGACCAAATTTAAGCAATATTTTAAATTACATTTAAGCTATAATTTCCAGCTATTGCCTGGAACCGGTGCTAACCACGTTGCGAACGTGGGATTAGCCATCCAGTTACCATTAAACTTGCACTTCCCCATGGCGCAAGTTCCCGCTAGCTTAACCAGCTAATGTGCTCATCTAAAAATAGCTCCCTTTCACAACCAACTGAATGTGTACGGTTCCGCTTACGCCAATATCGTACACAAAAAAAATGCTGAACACTAACTAGAAATTCACTAAATTTTTATAGAAATAAAAGAATCTTGTTAATTGGGTCTTTGGTTATTTAAGACCTTCGGAAACTCTATTTCAGGATTATTTGTCATTTTTAAGGACTTTTAAGGCCTTAAATTTGGAAAAGCAAATTTAAGACTTTTTAAGGACCCGCGGATACCCTGGATGACATCACCCACCATCCTCGGGGGGAGAGGGTCCTCAGGAGAACCTGCTGGTTTCATATTTCCAATCAGATCTGACAATTCACTAAGATATATGGGAGTAAAGTTACAGAATGAGGGAGGTTCTGGTGGTACATCAGGAGAGCCAGATCCTGGTTGCACAAGACTATCCCTAATGTCCTGGACTTTGTGAAGAAAGAAGGTCTGGAGCTCAGCTTTCATAATTAAATCATATTATGTTGAAGATGAGTAAATAATCATATGGTTGAATGAACAATAATGGTTGAAGAATAATAACAATGTTTTGATTAATCTGTGCTTAAATGACTGTGGTTGAAATGAATTGTATTATGTTATGATCAGTAAACAGGGTATCTGCAGGTTTAAGGGAGCCACATTTAAGACTTTTTAAGACCTTTTTTAAGGCCACTTAGACCAAATTTAAGCTATTTTATAATTTAATTTAAGCTTTATTTTCCAGCTATTGCCTGGAACCGGTGCTAACCACGTCGCGAACGTGGGATTTGCCATCTAGTTACCATTAAACTTGCACTTCCCCATGGCGCAAGCTCCCACTAGCTCAACCAGCTAATGTGCTCATCTAAAAATAGCCCCCTTTCACAACCAGCTGAATGTGTACGGTTCCGCTTTTGCCAATATCATACACAAAAAATGCTGAATACTAACTAGAAATTCATGAAAATTTTATAGAAATAAAAGAATCTTGTTTATTGGGTCTTTGGTAATTTAAGACCTTTGGAAACTGTATTTAAGGATTATTTGTCATTTTTAAGGATTTTTAAGGCCTTAAATTTGGAAAAGCTAATTTAAGACTTTTTAAGACTTTTTAAGGACCCGCGGATACCCTGAGTAAAGTTAGATTTAACAAGTGAATCACTATCTACTGACAGCTCACACACTCAGACACGTGACAATGACAAGGTTAAACTAATATCATGACACATTGCTTTCGGTTCCACCAATCAGAACTCCTGTATCTGACGCAAGGCGTGTTTTCTGAGGTTTGTTGGAAAAACCCTTTGTACATGTCAAATTCTGATTTGTTAGTAAATCAAAATATGACGATTGTTCAAACTGAGCTCACTTCAATGTGAGTCAGTTCTTGAGAAAGCTTCAGACCGGCCATCCAAAGCAAAACCTCTTTAACCTAGAGCACCTTTTGACAGCTGTCAAAAACCTGTTGCATGCTACAGCTGACCGCAAACGGTTCCTTCAGAACAAAGCTGAACCAACTTCAACTCCTTAAGAGTTATTCCTAAGACGCAAATAACAACTGGCGTGACCTGGAGACATCTCGAGACCAGTCTAGTCGGCACAGCGGTTTCTTCTACGGACTTAGGTACCTCTGAGGTCCCCGGACCTCAACACATTCCGGATCTACCACGGGGGTCTTTGAGACTCGACAGATTGCGTCTGATGTGGTTTTATAAACCATCACTATAGTTATAGCAGACCAAATTCACTCCCACTCAGAACTCACTTTCTCCAGATACAAAGGTTTTGATAACATCACATTCACACATCATCACACCTCACATTCCATCCACTTAGATTCATTCATCACATAAAGTGTCCTAGTTGTCATGTTTTTAATTGTTTAGGAAATAATTTTTTTTATTTTTATAAACTTGACTCTCCTCTTGAATTAATACGAAGTGTCTTACAATCCCTGAATAAACAAAGAATTCTAAATCTTCTGGTTAACATTCAAAGACCAATCAGACTGAATTTCCATATTTATATAGAAATTCACATCATATTGGTCAAAGTGTAGTGTAGTATATTAAGCTTTAAAAGCACCCAAATACATACGTATGTTACTCCTACACTGTTATGACACCTACATTTTCTTGACTACCATGGCTTCCTCGATGGATCCCTCACTCAACAGAGCACGGATCAGGTGATCATATGGGAGGGCAGTTAGTGCCACGCCCTTATTTTCCGCCTCCTTCAGCACCTCAAATGCTTCTGCAAAAAAATTAAAAAATAAAAACATAAACAGCAAAGGAGAGGAGAAAATTTATTTTATTCAGTTTCAACACTCAGCTTCCTGTGTGATGTAGGACAGCACATGGACCTCCTGCTGCTGCTTACCTTTGGCTTTGCCCTTCTTACAGAGAGCCAGCAGACGGTCCTGGTAATAAGCACCACCTTCCACTTTGTAGGGGGTGGGTAGTGACTTGACCTGTTTTGTGCTGGAGGTAACTTGCCCATACCACGTCTGAAAACACACACAACAATGCAGAAGCTGTGTGATATTTCCATCAAAACGCAGCTACATCTAGCCTTAAAAGCTGGTGATGTGTGTGTGCACATGTGTGTGTGGCGGTGCAATAACGACGGGCCTGTAATGCTCGCTCACCCGTGTGGCTGACAGGGGAGGGGGTTAAGCTGTATTGGCTAGGGGCAAATTAGGTCTGGCACCCCAAGGGGCAAAAGAAAAGTGTGCGCGTTAAGAGAGTTTGTGTGTTGGAGCGGGAAGTGTCAACCGAAGAGCCCCCGGGGTGGCCAAGTTCATCGCTTCAGGAAACAGCAATCACTTCCTGTCTCATCATGCTTCACGCTGCAGGAGCATGCAAAGTGAAAAACGGGAGAAAAATCTGGGAGCGGCAGAAACAAAGCAGCTTTTCGGTAACACCTCTCTGTTTTTTTGTGTAAATATACCTTAACAAAAAAAATTAAAAATAAGACTGACTTCATTGCAGTCCAGCTGAGCATCCAGCAGCAGCCATATGGAGGCATTTAGCTGCTGCGTAAATTAGTCGGGCATTAGAGATTTACAGACAGATCAAGTTGTAACTCTGTTCAGCAGCCAGCTGCTCTGATTGACTACACTTCAGATCAGAGCCTCAATCCTGTTTGCTCTGCATGTAATGAACAGAGGATTAAAGTGGAGCAAAGTGTGTGTGTGTGTGTGTGTGTGTGTGTGTGTGTGTGGGGGGGGGGGGTTGGAGAGCAGCTGATGAGAGTTTGGATTTTTCTTTTTTTATTTGGGTGGAGTTGAGGTTAGCTCTGACTGTCTGAGGGTCAGATTCCTCTTTGGGTACTCCATTTTTAATTAAAAAAACTAAACTGTAGCGTCATCAGAATAAAAATAAGTATTAATGACACAAAAGCATGAAGGGTGAAGTGGTTTTAGTATAATCAGCATCAAAATTTACAGAATGTTGCAAAAAGATCCTTCATGTTCCTGCAGCTAGAGCTGTTTCCTGTTCATCCTGTCTTAATTTGATAACACCGGCCTTATTATGCATCTTTACGGCATTAGAAACATAGCATGCTGCAAAACAGTGGGAAGCTATGATAAAGACCCTCCAGATTTACGTGCTCTGCTTTGTCTCACCACAGAAACCGCTAGTTAAATGTTATCTACTGCATCAAATCAGGTCTCACAAATCTGAGTTTTTACCTCAGGCACCTCAAACGGCACCTTCTGGCCGTTACTCTTCAGAACATCAGCTAGCAAACGCAGCGTCCTTTCTCTGGGAATCACGTTCTCCTCCTGCATCTTTGTCCAGATGGACTCTGCCTTCTGCCAGTCGTTTGTGACCTCTGAAAACCAACCAGAAACAAATGAGGGATATGACAGGTGTTTAGTCATAAAGGTAGGACACACAGGCGTGCGTGTGTGTGTGTGTGTGTGTGTGTGTGTGTGTGTGTGTGTTGGGGTATTAGAAAAGAAATTTTTCACAAAGAGCAGCCATCGAAGCTCTAATCTGATCAACTGATGACCCTTCGGCTCTGCAGCAATTTATGAAACGCACCACTAGACTAGAGTCCGTATGTGTGTGTTCAGAGAAGAGGGCACAATGACAATCAGCTTCAACACTCCAATCACAATTGTTATCAGCTCTGCTCGTGGCTGCAGCAATCACACCACCTCTTCTGCTTCCTCCTGACTGGTCCCAGGCAAAGGTGAGAGGTCAAGTGAGAAGAAGACACTGAGGCTTGATATAACACACACACACACACACACACACACACACACACACACACACACACACACACACACACACACACACACACACACACACACACACACACACACACACACACACACACACACACTTACTGCAGAGCTTGAGGATATAACTGTACATCTCATCTCTGTCACACTCAAACAGCTTAGCTGTTAGTTCCACCATCTGCTCCAGGGCCTCCATCTAAACAACACAAACACACGATTCAAGCGTTAATATTCACTTGTGTTGCTCTCAGGTGTGTTTTGTTGCCCGGTTGTGTCACCTGCTTGAGAGCAATGCATTTCTCTGCATACCACTGCAGGCGGCCAGGCTTTGCCCTCAGCCCCGGGGTCTGAAAAAGGAGAACAGATGATTTACTTCATTAAAAAGAATATAAACTTCTATAACGGAGTAAATGCAGGTTCAAGGAAGACTTTTTAAAAACATTTTTAAGGCTGCTTGCTAAAATCTGACACTAATAATCCTGTCTAAACCTTTAGTGGAACTGAAAGAGCTGAAAAATAACACAAACATCAAGATAAGTGTTCTGCAGACAATGACAGTGCATGTAATTTCCAAAAACCAACAAAGCAGAACCACTATCTGAAAATGGCCCCCTCACACACACTAAATATGCTGTTGGTTCCTCTCATGACAGTCTCATACGCAAAAATGCAAAACACCAATTAGAAATTCACAAAATTCTTTATTGAGATAGCAAAAAAATATTTTTTTAAATTATAAATTAATCTTGTTCATTGGGTCTATGGTATTTTTAATAGTTAAAAGGATTACTTGTCATTTTTAAGGCCTTAATTATGGAAAGTATTTTTAAAGATCCATGGAACCCCAGTATAAACACTTAACATGTCAGTGACCATGTGTGTATCTAATATCCTTTAACACCAGTTAGGACGGAGAGTCTAAACCAATCAGAGACCAAACTGAAACGGCCCACTGACGGATATTTTCAGAATCATGATGAAAACAACAAACACTAAAGATGAAAGCATTCCTTGTTTTGAAAATGTGTTCAGAAAAGCAGCTTTGGTGTTTTCCACAAGGTGGATGGATTATGAGATGACGGAGCCCTGGGCTATCCCCCTTTTGTTCCTAAAGACCAACACACTCAGATTAAAATGATAGAAAAATAATTTAATTTCTGATCACATTCTGCCCCTAAACATGTATCTTCGGGGTGTTTGTTCTGCATCACCCCACTGATATTTGTTTCTGCTACTTTGAGCTCAGCTGCCACCTGTAGTTCTGTTTCGTTCCCTCCTGACTGCCAGTGGCAGTAAACAGAGTGGATGTATCTCCTCGCGCTCTGCGCAGGTCGAGTACTAATGTAAACAAAGTCACGCACGTGACACGTAGCGCACCTGGTCGCGAGTCTATAAATTACGCGCCGATAGCTATGTTCGGGTCTCTTTGATCTTCTCGCTGTTGGCCTGGCGTGCTTCGCTGGTCAATCGCTCCGTACGTCCGTGATTCGGATCTTATCGGTCTTGAGAGGTGAGTACTGTTTTTACTTGGCGTCTTCCTGCCCGGGACCGTGTGGTCGGAGCGCTCGAAGGAGCCCTCTGGGGCGGTGGATTGACGCTGTTATTTATCTGCTAATTGTTACCGAGTGCGGGTGGTGCGGCCGGCCGGCGCCGTTCGGACCGCCGCTGCCGGCTCGGATAGGGCTCGCTGGCGGTCGCAGGTTTTCCCCTGTGGAAAGGGGAGGTGAGTGCGGCCGGCGAGCGCTACAGATAAGTGGGGCTGGACGTTCTGACCGTGGTGGTGGCACGCTCAGATTACCTAGCCGACACACACACACGTGCGTTGTTTTATAACGCTACCGGTGAGTGGGGCTGGACGTTCTGACCGTGGTGGTGGCACGCTCAGATTACCTAGCCGACACACACACACGTGCGTTGTTTTACAACTCCAGGACTGAATCGCGTTCTTCAGTTTTCCTCGAAGTCCTCGCTCAGTTCCTGTGGAGTCGCTGGCGTCTCCCACACCGGTAAGGATGTTGGAGTGTACGTCATGCGGGGCTCCCCTCCAGGTGGAGGACGGCCACGACTTGTGTCCTAAGTGCCTGGGCGTCGGTCACCTCAGAGAGGCGCTGACTGACCCGTAAATGAACTGCAGCATTTTGCCGCTGGCGGTGCGGGAGGACAGGCTACGTCAAGTGGAGTGCCTCCTGTTTGAGTCAGACCTGCCGCCCTCTGGTGTCCCTCGCCCGTGTTCCGGGAGACGGAGGGATAGACCGGCTGAGGAACGCGGCAGCCCGAGGCGCAAGAAGCGGCGTGTGGCGCAACCCTCTCGCCAGGAAGTGGACTCTTTGCGGGCGGAGGTGGAACATCTCAAAGAGCTGCTGACCAGAGCCCCGGACGAGGGGGGCCCGGACGACCTGATCTCTGTGAGGGCCTCAAATTCTGAGTTTCAGTCCCTCGAGGAGGAGGGCCCCTCTCCTGGCCGTAGTCAGGGGCTGGTGATGGAGCCCCCGGGCCTGGGAGGTCACGGTGACTCGGGGATGTCTCTCCATAGCTCAGCAAGCTCGGAGCTGGCGGAGGACCCCTGTCAGTTGCGGGCGATTTTGCGAGCGGCACTGGCCAGGATTGGACTGGACGACGTGCCGGTGGCCCGTCCGGCGGGGAATCACTTCTTCCGCCGGGCTCCGACGGCGCCCCCGTTTCAGGTCCCACCATCGCCAGCCTTTGTGGAGGAGCTGCAGCGGTGCTGGGGGGACCCGAGACAGCTCTCCCACCATGGTAGGGATGCCAGGACCCTGGCATCGATGCGGGAGGCAGGAACCTACGGGTTGGACCGCATGCCCCCGGTGGACCACTGCGTTGCCTCTCTGGTGCTCTCCCCGGATGAGGCATTGAGGGACAGGGTCCGCTGTCCGAGCACCCAGTGTCGGGTGACCGACAGCTTACTGTGCCGGGCTTACGACATCGGGGCACGGATGGCACGCACCAGCAATTCGCTGTCGGTGCTGTTGCTAGCCCAGTCCCAGATACTGCAGTCGGGCGCAGCGGGGATGGCACTGGGCGATACGAACGACGCAGCCCTGCAAGCATTTGGGCTGATGTCCAGGGAGCTTGGTCGGTTGTTGGGCACGCTGGTAGTGGCTCGCCGTCAGGTCTGGTTGGCGCAGGCTCCGGTGTGGGATGATTGCCGATAGAGCCTGCGCGGTCTGCCCGTGGTGCCGGGCCAGTTGTTCGGGCCCGAGGCTGAGCGGGCGTTGGAACGTCGGCGGCAGTCCAGACAAGCCGCAGAGGCCTGGAGTGGGCGTAGTGGGGCAGGGGTCCTCCCCATGCCACAGTCCAGGCCACGAGGGGCACGGGACCCTCGGCGCCGGTTTCGTCCGGCCGCCCCCTTGCAGGTCGCCCAGCAGGCCGCGGCTGCGGCAGGGACTTGGAGACGCTCGGGGGCAGGTCAGGCCCCGCCCCGGGGATCCTCGGGGCAGGACAGGGGCCGCCGCCCCCCCAGGGCCCCAAACAGGCGTCGGGACACGGCCTGAGGGCTGTGGGCCGGCGGCGGGCAGATTTACACCACAGCACCTGGCCCTCTGGGAGGCCCAATGCGGAGACGCTTGGGTGGTTCGAACTATGTCCCAGGGCTACAGGTTGCAGTTCCGCCGTCGGCCCCCACCCCCTTCGGGGGTCAGGGTGACTTCGGTCACAGATCCTGCACGGGTCAGCATCCTGATGAAGGAAATAGATGTGCTCCTGGACAAACGGGCCATAGAGGTCGTTCCGCCGCATTTGCAGGCAGACGGCTTTTATTCGACGTATTTCTTGGTGCCCAAGAAGGACGGGCACCTGCGGCCGGTACTGGACCTCAGGGGTCTCAATCGGTTCCTGAAGGTGCTGCCCTTCCGCATGCTTCGGACTCGCGATGTCCTTCAGGTGGTTTGTCCGGGAGAGTGGTTTACGACCATAGACCTCAAGGACGCATACTTCCATGTCCCGATCCATCCGGGGCACAGGAAGTACCTGCGGTTTTCTTTCCTCGGGAGGGTGTACCAGTTTCTGGTTCTGCCATTCGGCCTGTCTCTCGCCCCCCGAGTTTTCACGCGGTGCGTGAAGGCAGCCCTGAGCCTCCTGTGTCGGGCGGGGTTGAAGGTCCTGCCATATCTCGACGACTGGCTCGTCTGCGCGCCGTCGTGTCACGAAGTGGGTCTGGCCACGGCCAGGGTCCTTGCCCACGTCGAGGCGCTGGGGATGACGGTGAACCTGCAGAAGAGTTCTCTGGTTCCGACTCAGCGGGTGGATTTTATCGGCATTGCCATAGATTCTGTGGCCATGCGGGCGAGGCTGACCGAGCAGAGGAGGGTCCGGATTCGGTCCTTGCTCCGGGCCTTTCGCCTTGGGGCGGCACCCCCGGTCCAGGTGTGGCTGCGACTGTTGGGGATGCTGGTCTCGGCTTCTGCACTGGTGCCTCTCGGGCTGCTCCACCTTCGGCCCTTGCAGAGGTGGTTCAACGGCTTCTGCCTGGATCCCCGGCGACACCGACGGGTCGAGCTGGAGGTCACGAACAGCTGTGTGGCTCTTTTGCGTCGTTGGGACGATGTCGCCTACCTGAGTCTCGGCGTCCCGCTTGGCGCGGTTCCCGCCAGACGGGAGGTGGTCACGACGGATGCGTCACCCCGGGGGTGGGGGGCAGTGCAGGTCGGTCCAGGGGTTGTGGAGCCCCCGTCAGGCACGGCTTCACATCAATGTCCTGGAGTTGAAGACCGTCTACTTGGCGCTGAGGCGCTTCTTGCCCTTTCTGCGGGGCAAGCACGTGCTCATCCGGATGGACAGCACCTCGGCGGTGTTCCACATAAACCATCAGGGGGGCACCAGGTCGTTGCGATCGTTGAGGGAGGCTCAGACGCTGCTGACCTGGGCTTACCCTCGCTTGGCCTCCATCAGGGCGCTGCACCTTCCGGGGTGGAGGAACTCGGTGGCGGATTGCCTGTCCCGGCGGGGTCTTCCCCCAGGGGAATGGAGGTTGCACCCTCAGGTGGTGCAGAGGGTGTGGCATCAGTTCGGAGAGGCCCAGGTGGATCTGTTCGCCTCGAGGAGCAGCACACATTGCCCTCTGTGGTTCTCCCTGGCAGAGGCCGACGCCCCTCTGGGGATGGACGCCCTCGCCAATGCCTGGCCGTTGGTTCGGCTGTACGCTTTCCCGCCGTCTCCGTTGATCTTACCAACCCTCCATCGGGTGAGGGACTCGTCACACGAGGTCCTTCTGGTGGCTCCAGACTTGCCCATGCGGATCTGGTTTCCACTGCTTCTCAGTCTGCTGAACGGGGAGCCGTGGCGGTTGCCGGCGAGACGGGACCTCCTGTCTCAGATGGAGGGGAGGATT